AAGTGCAAATGCAGCAAATATTTAAAAGAAAATGGAAAACCACAACTTTAGCTAAAGCCCCGAACTGCTTATACTCAATGATGGATATGCCAATTAACATATTTTCGTCCGAAGGGCACGATTCTAATGCAGCCTATTCTGAAATACCACAATGCAAAATAGCTTCATCCACCCAGACTCAAAATAAAACGAGTTAGCAGACCACAGTGACTCAGCTAAACCCAAGCGGTGTGGCTTATCACCTATCGTATAACACAGATGCTATTTTTGTACACAATTGAAACACTTTCGATGGAGCGATTTAAGTTTTCGGGTTTGAACAGCTCTTGATAAAGACGTCCAATTGGTTATTACCGTACAATTCACGCACTCGTCTGACCTATCGCTGGTTATTTTCATTTCAAATCTGACCGGGTAATTACCAGCATTAGAACATTTTGCATACTGTGAAAATGCGCGGCCATGTCACCACGCATCGTCTTCAACAAGAAATGTTCTACATGTTAATGAAATCAGCAATGGAAACCGGATATGGTGTTAGAAATCGTGCAAATTGAAATGGAAAGACGTTAATTTTTGATAACTTTTGCCTAAGCATTAAGACTGCAATTGTAATACCACCAATCTCTTGCTCAGAAATACTACCAAATGTACTTACACCTTTGTGAATCAATAACAGACTAGCAATACAATCTGGCGTTTGGCTGAGAATTGGGCGCCTTAGTTGACGATATTTAGTCTTGAATAAATAGAAATGTCGGACGCGCTATAGCCGCAATGTCATACTAAATATGATTGGTAATTGATATCTGATATTGATTTTGTTGTCAGCTTGTATACGCGAGTATAAATTGAAGTTTCAAATATAGATCAAGAAAAAAAAGGGAAATTGCAGCTATGTGGTCTTTCGACGAATATGTTTTTTAAAAAAAAATTGATAAAATTGATAGGCAAATATGAAAAACTGCAAATTTGAGGTATGAAAGATTGGTCCTTAAATTAAGTATATCATAAATTATGACATACTTCTGCAAGTCGTGTAATATGGTACGAGAAAATTTTGGGCGAGAAAACAACAACAACCAAACTACATCATATCATAACCATTTCGAAATCATATATTTCACGTAATAATAATTCTTCGAATTCTTGGCACTAATGAAAATTTTCGATCTATACAATACTTGCACCCCGAGGGCAAGCTAAAATTAGTCCGGTTTTCGCCAGCATAATCACCATCTAAATCGAACAGGGTAATTTGGTCTGGGTCATGCCATATTACATGGAAAAAGAATTTATACATGTTTACGAGCGCGAGGTGGATGGCGTAACATTCAAGATTTGAAATCGATTATTTTTTCAAAGGTCATGAATAAAGCTAATCGTAAATAACTAGCGAAGTAAGGCAACACTGAACACAAAAAATATTATTACCCTATTTTACGATTTTTTTACCTTTGACAATAATATAGTGTTACTCTCGATGCCTTTCACATTTCCAAACGGGTCAATCAATATGATCATGTGATTTAGGCAAGATCACCTGATTGCAGTTTATTCGAAGTTATCCGTAACAACAACGTGAAGACATTCGATACCCATGACTAGTGAAACCCGACCTAAGCGCTATAATCCACAAAGGTATTCGGCAAAGAGTTCATTATACCATTTTTTGAATTCCTTGTCAGTAGAAATAGAAGATAGAAATATTAAAATAGCAATAGAGACCAGTTGGACCTGTTTGGTTTCTACTCAAAATACCAAGTAAGTATCACAGAAAAAAGTTCAATAATATGAACTAATGTCCGCTAGAGACACATTCTCTCATATTCGTCCCAATAACTCGTAATTATCGTATAAGCTTGAAACCGATGATTTAGAGACAAATTTAACGTGCTTGCTTATGTCATATAATATTGATGTTCGAGAACGTTTTTACAATACAAATATACAGTAGTGAGTTTCACTCACCGTACTGCTTGATAGCAGAATGTGCTCACTTGCAAGGTTGCACAAACAAATACCCCGCACGCTATGTAGACGAAGTAGTAGACATATACCAGCGAATTTCCAGTCAGATCCTGAGCATTGGCACTGTCTACATCAAACTGGCTGAAAATGAAAATGTTAAAATGCAATAAAAGTCTAAATAGACCTAAATGAATGTAATGAATGTTTTTTTTGGCTTCAAGTATCACAAGTGACACAATAAAATTCAAAACAGAATATTTTATTTAAATTTGGACATTAGTATTTTCATTTTATTTATTCAATTAGTGAGGGCGATTTTGCCGGTAAACACGGTCGGAGTAATCAATAGAATATCTTTTACTTTTCGCGTAAGATGAGGCATTGGAAGCCCAGATTTTGACAGTATAGCTCAACTATCAACATATTAATTCTTACATCATAGAGATATCATAAATTTTACAAGGATAATCCATTGTTGACTCTGCTAAACAGAATAAATAACGAAAATTGATTACAATAATAGTGATCGTCTGCACGATTGAAGAAACACTTACGTTTCTGTCCCGTTGTACAAGCCGGCATCAATGCATTTTTGATACGTGAAGTTGCAGGCAGCATATTTACCAAACTCGGTAAAACTATTGGTAAGATCCCCGAAGAAGACAAATAGCAACGGTAGACAAGAACCATGAATTGCTGCTGCCAGAAATCCGATAATCACCAATAAGTAATCAAGTCCATAAGCGAATCGGTACTATAAAGCAATAATAAAGTGGATTTGAAAAGTACTTTACTCTATATAAATCATAATGCAACAGTTTATATTATACAGAAAGTATAATACATAATCTAACAAGAATATCCTAATATTCAAGATCCACAGCACTTATCCTCAACACCTTGAGGCATTCTATGAACGAGTGGAAATATGTTCCACTTTTATTCGAATTATTTGCGGTATTTCATTCATCATATTTAACATCAGTATTTCATATTTTATACAAAATTGTATAAAAATATAGTTTCTGACCAGTTGGTAATAAGGCACACTTGGAACAGGTTCCTTTTTCTTTTTTTCGGAATTCGAAGATTCGCTGCCATCACGCGAAGGAGTCTGGATCTTGACGTCCAGATCCTTGTTGTTTCTGAGAATAAACAAAGTAAGTTAGAGCAGGACTTGACAGCATAACTACAGTAAAATCTAACATTTTAAGTTAAGTTTAAGATGAGTGAACGCGAGGCAATATCATTGGCTAAATATTATAGATAAGCAAAGCATATGTACATGATCAAAAGTTATACCGATCGCTATACGGGCCAAACTATTAATGCTGGAAAAGAAATATTCAAAAAATATGATATAAGAGTACTCACAAAACTTCGAGTTGCGTGGGCTCTCCCATATGTGCTTCTTTGTCCTTGTTTTCCTCACTGCTTTACAATTACAATAGACTTACCTACATACAAAATTTATGGTTACCTCTACAGCTGTAACATACAAATATATATACAATGCTTAGTATGATCCTTCATGCTATCTAGCAGCTCTTAAGAAATCGTTGTATCCCCACTAAAACTAAAAATGCGAATGAACGCAATTTAAATTATCTGCTACCAAACAAGAGCATTGTGCAAAATAGCATATCAGATACAAAACAAATTACTTCGTTGAAGCGTGTCATTATCTAACATTCTAACTCACGCTCTATCGTTGTTTTGTATTGAGGACGCAACAAATCCAAATCGGGCTTTTTATAGGCCTTGCTGCAAAAGAAGAAGGCTTAGTTCATCTATGAAATTCAACAAACGTATGCAACTTTCTTCATACCATCCACTACATTTAGCTCCTGTTCTCGAACTGACAAGAACTCAAACGAGCGTACGCGGACACCTGAATGACCGCGGCACAATACCACAACCCACCGATGGTCGCAAGCTCTGTGTCGGCGAATGACTCTTAAAACGTCGACTCGATCTTTATGTAAATTATGCACGGTATATATAATTACGAACGATGCTTTGGTGCCATCTGCTGCTCACAGACACAATGACATGTTTGAAAACAAAAAGCACGCAGACTGCGAAGTAAATATAACAGAAAAATAAATGAAATTCCAAACATCATATTCCCAAGAAGTATAATATTATGATTTATAATTTATTAGCTTCCAAATAAGGTACAATACGATCTAACTATTGGAGCAATGCACTCTCAGTATATATAGTTGTATATTTGAATGTTTTTTGTTGGAAATGAAGACTAATAAATACTCGTCAAACATTTAGGAACTTTTTTCATCAGCAAAAATCTTCCAAATTTCCCAGTGACACTGTCAATTTTTCATTGTTAGAAGACATTACAGAATAATTCATTGTTGTTAAAATCTTCAAATAAAAGAAAACATTGTGAGAAAAGTAGCAATGTGTACTGTTAAGATTGCAGACAACCAAAACGAGACTTCATTTTATGGTGCAGTAATATATATCAGAAATCCTCGTAAATTTTGATACTTTTCCTTCAATGATATCGTAAAAATAAACTCACTATTTTATATAGTATTCTTTCGGGGAAACTGATTTATCTTAATGGGTTGAAAAATTAAAAACCTCAACTAGTCCAGGCAAATATTCAGTCGTTTTTGCTTGTGTATGTTGGGACGTGGCCTGCCCACAGGTTCAGTCTCGAGATTTCAATTACACCAATGCACCTAAAAGACTCTCCTTATTTTATGTCCCAATTTCAAAAGTGCCACATTATATTTCTACCGTGAAAAAGAAGTAGAATGTTGGTCGTAGATTTAAGGTCAGCATAAATATAAAAAAAAACTTGATGCATTATCTTTCCCGCAAGGCTTACACTTCTGGCTTGGTATTGTGCAGTTATGAACTTACAAATGCAGCACTTGGTTTTATGGAATTCATATGAGATGAACATGTGTTTGTATAAATATGACGCAACAATTGGATATGGTACCTATTGTGAGACGCCAATTAATAAGTTTCCCTAGACTTGGAAGTTGTCATACGGTGCCGGTATTTGAATTTTTGGATTCGGTTTCGTCATATTCTTGGTTAATCTTATCCTGAGTAGCCCGCGTTTTAGATTCCTGAAAAGCTGCTGTATGTGTGGAAGGATCACCAAGTTATACTAAACATTTTCTATTTGTATGTGATTGCAGTTGCTCACTTTTTGATGAATATTGTATGTAACCTAATCCTATTGTGAAGCAGTGAGGAAAACAAGAACGAAGAAGCACGCATGGGGGAAGCTACGCAACCTAAACCTGTTGCCTCGCGTGATGGTGGCCAATCTTCGAGTTCGGAAATTAAGAAAAATGAGCCAATTCCAACTGTGCCTTATTACAAACTGGTTAGAAACTTTATTTTTATACAATTTGATAACGTTACATAAAATCTTCTGATATTATAAGTGATTAATGGCATATCGCGAATAATGCATAAAAACTGTTCGTTTAGTCACGAATAATAAGCATTTAACCGCCAGGAGTAAATATCATCGTGACCCCTTCTACACCAATAATTTCTCGAGTGACCAAGTTATATAACTTGGCCTGTGTAATGTTTTATCCAAACCTGTTTATATTTTGTCAACTTTCTTGGGAACGTTACAATGACAGTCTATTGCTGCTTTTTAAAAATCCACTTGTTCATGAAACGCCTGAAAATTGAGGATAGTGCTCTCTTTACTACCGATATTGGGATATTCTTGTTGAGTGGTGTATCATATTTTCTGTGCATTACTCATAAATTCATGCATTATGACATTGAGTTTAAATTACTTTTCTTTTCAACTCTATAATGGTTTTCAGTACCGATTCGCTGATGGATTGGACTACTTATTGGTGATTATCGGTTTGCTGGCAGCAACAATTCATGGTTCTTGTTTACCTTTGCTATTTGTCTTCTTCGGGGATCTCACCAATAGTTTTACCGAGTTTGGTAAATATGCTGCCTGCAACTTCACGTATCAAACATGCGTTGATTTTCTCTTGTACAACGGAACACAAGAGTAAGTGTTTCAGTCGTCCAAACAAATATATCTTAACAATTGTAATCAGTTTTCGTTATGTAGATTGTAGGCTATATCAGAGCTTCTGTGGCTCGAATAGGCGCGATTTTAATATCCCCGACTGCGGAGCACACATTCCTGGGTAAAAGGAGTGACGTCAATATGGGAGGTCTAAAATCTAAATTAAACACTCCTACGACTGTGTTCTAACAAATAAGCGCTCATCAACGTAATTCGTATCTATTATATACTTTTCAAATGGTATCATATGTAGCTGTTGATCTGTTTGAGTAACGAACCCCTTTTGATCTTGTTTTTAGTCATGACACAGGAACAAATGTCAAGCCAGTTCGCCTAACGTTATGAGCTTGAAAGTTATGAACTCATTTATTCTTGGGTCTCCTTGCTTTTGATTTCGTAATTGGACACGTTTGGTGGACATAACGATCGTTTTGTTGTTCTTGTTGTTCTTTGACACAGCTCTCTTGTTTACTTTGCTTTTCATTATGAAAATTGCACACAATAAACTGTATTTGAAAAATGTATCCCCCCTAAAATGAATTTTTTGTTTAGTCAAATATACGCACGATATTACACCTCATATTTTCATATTCAGAGATTTTGATATAGACAGTGCCGAGGCTCATGATCTAACTGGAAATTCGGTGAAATATGTTTTTTACTTCGTCTACATAGCATGCGGGGTATTTGTTTGTGCAACGTTGCAAGTGAGCACATTCTGCTACCAAGCAGTACGGTAAGTAAACGCATTATTGAAAAATCTTGTCGAGTATCAATGCAATCGGCCATAGACAATCATGTTGAATTTGTCTTTAAACCCTTGTTTACAAGCTTATATATTATTTTACGAGTTATTGCTATGATTTTCTACCACGAGTGAATGCTTCTTGTACCTTGAACGCATTTCAAATTGCTATTTCCGAAGATGGGCTTCATGTCAATAAGGGTAATGAACGATGATCACAAGATGCTCAATGTAATACTATGAAATGCAGATAAAGTTGTGATTTCCATTAGTTTCAAATATTTGCCTCAACACTTCAAAGTTGAGGTGAAGAATCATCAAGTTAGTGATTGGTCATATTCGTACTTTTCAATTATCATGCTTTTTCTGCAATACATTTTAGTAATATAAATCTCTGTTTCAGACAATCCAAGCGTATCCGCGTAGCTTATGTTAGAGCAATTCTCAGACAAGACATTGGATATCATGACGTGACTTCTTCCGGAGAATTGAATGCAAGACTGGCCGAGTAAGTTTTTTTTCTGTTATTTTATGCGGAATACACCTATATTATGTTCACCCATGATTGACAGTTGAAATATGAGTTCATCTCTCTCACAAGAGCATTTTTTACCCCATCCGCAGAGGCACGATGCCATTTCATTGGTGCAATCACAACTACACCGCGTATCACATGTTCTTTTCTTGCTTCTAGTGACGTCAAAAAGATTCAAGACGGCATGGCCGACAAAGTATCGTTAACAGTGCAATATGTGTGCATGGTGCTGGCTGGTTTTCTCATTGCATTCATTTATTCTTGGAAACTATCTCTGGTTGCTCTCTCTATATCGCCATTTTTGATCGTATCGTCAGCATTGATTTTCACCGTGAGTTTCGTCACAATGCACAATATAGATAGATCTTGGTATATAAAAATTGGCCTTGATAATGTAAATTGTAAATGACCAGCGCTTTGTTCAGATCAAACTCACCATCTCAGCCATAGATTATAAATTGGGAAACGGAATTATCTTTCAAGCGTCTAAGTGGCTGCTTCTATCGACCATTGTTTACAACCAAGTGTGGAAGAATTACAAACATATTGCCACTGTTTTTCTTTTTTATTTGTAGTTGACCACTAAATATACTACGGCTGAACTTGATGCATATGCAAACGCGGGTTCAATCGCGGAAGAAACGATATCATCCATCCGCACAGTTGTGGCATTTGGGATTCAAGAAGAGCAAGCTAATCGGTTAGTAGTTTTTGGAAATATGAAAATTCTATAATAAACAGACACCTTTATACAGTAATGTGGGCTTCATGAGTGCGTGTCACGTCTGAATAAAAAAAATTCTAGCCTATAGTTTTTCTGCCACATTTCAGATATGGTGACAATCTTGGTGAGGCCAAAGCAAGGGGAATTAAAAAAGGCGTGATTTCCGGCGCAAGTATCGGTTTTCTATATTTTACCATGTTTGGAATGTATGCTTTAACTTTCTGGTATGGAGTTACATTGGTCATCGATGAAAACGATCCTCTTGGCCCCGGTGATATGATGGTCGTCTTCTTCAATATTCTGATTGGTGCTTCTGGTTTGGGAACGGTAAGGACTCATGTGTGACACCCATGCTATATCGGCTATATTCCTAAATCGGCATTCATATACGTTTGTAACTGACGGTTTCATATATGTCTCAAACCAAACGATTCGGAATTAGTTATATTCACCATAATAAGTTCTTAATTTTGGAAATAATTTGGAGTCCTCTCATCAAAAATAAAAATAAAAAAAAGTAATTTTTAGCAAAATCTTATGATAAGACCAAAAAACTCCTTGGCTAACATTGCAAGGATGTGGCGGCGATTAATTCGTATCTTAGTATTACAGTAAAATAATGAATGTTCAAATACAATGTATTTTCTATGGTGATGGTGACAACTTTCATTTAGAGCGCCCAAATTCAGCTCGACATTTGTGTACATGTTTTCTACAGCGTTATTAATTTTTAATTTTGTTCTTTTGCATTCTATTTCACAGTCCGGAAGCAACATGGAATACTTTTCTGCTGCCATGGCTGCCGGGCAGAAAGTTTTTGCCGTGATTGATCGAATACCCCCAATCGACGTATTTTCAGATAAAGGGCAAAAACCTAAAAATGTGAACGGGGAAATTGAATTCAAGAATGTGCGATTCAATTATCCTTCCCGTGCGGAAGTGGAGGTATGTGTAAGAACTAGGCGTGTTAAAGTGTGTTCAACGGCGTTTAAAATCATATAAAAATATTTCGTTTCAATGGAATATTCAGTATTTAATTTCTTTTCTTTTTATCGCTGATAGCGGTTCATAAATCATCTCCATTTTGACGTGAAAGAATTAGAATGACCACGTGATACTTTTACGTCCTGTTATGACTGCTATGGCTTACAATCAATTGTGTTGGATGTATCGTCTGCCTTTATTCCAATAGTGTACTTTCCTACTCGTTTTCACGTGACCCTTTCAACGTCATTTTTCCAATGTATGTCTTCATTCAATATCAAAAAAGTATTTGTTATGAGAATATCACATTTTAATTGTTTTGCGCAACCAGTTTTTACGGTTTTGGTCATGTGAATATAAGTAATCAATGAATACAATGTTTTCGCTTTTGAAGAATTTGGAGAAGGGTTTCACGCGTAAGACCTAACAAATACTTCCGTAGTATTAATATCTAACCATGAAAATATCTGGTAAATCATTTCTAAAAGTCTAAACTAATTATTTCATTCAGGCTATTCGAACTCAATCATATAACACAGTTTGATTCGACCAAATCGTAGTAATCGAGTATTAACCGCACCGAGTATTTCGGAAGATTTCCAACGATTAATTTTTCCAAACCATTTTGTGACCATTTTGCCAAAACATACCATGGCTTCAAATTGTACTGTTTGTATTAATAAGGCATATTTTTGTGATTTCTCTTTTTAAGATATCAGCTATTTTAATTATATTATTATTTCAAGGTCTTGAAAGGAGTAAGTTTCACTGTGGAAAAAGGTCAAACGGTTGCATTGGTGGGACAGAGCGGTTGTGGTAAAAGTACATCCGTCAGTCTGATTCAGAGATTCTATGATATTGTGGTGAGTGCTGGCTATAAAGTTGTTTTAGAGAATGGAATCAAATGTTTTCGTAGGTTTTTAGCTAAGAAATATCATATGGAAAAGTTGTACACATGAAAGTTTTACATTTAATGAGTGTGGCACGCGCACAACTAACAGTTTTTTCAACCCAAATGTACAATTTCGAATGAACAGTTTCAATAAATAGAAGTTATTTTTGTAGAAGGGTGATATTTTGGTCGATGGAAATGACATTAAGAAGTTGAATGTGAAATGGTTAAGAGACAGAATAGGAGTTGTGGCACAAGAACCTATACTTTTCGACACCACGATCGGTGAAAATATAAGATGGGGAAGAGAAGGAGTAACTGAGGATGAAATTATAAAAGCTGCAAGGCAAGCTAATGCCTTCGATTTTATCAACGTTCTTCCAAAGGTGGGTAATATGAATTATGTAAGGTATTTGTCATTTCCTATCAAATATTTTTATAACAGCGTTCAAATTTGAACAAGTTAACAATAGTAGAAATTGTTTCGTCATCTGTCACGCGCTTGCCTCACTGAAAATATTTTTTCAGAAATTTGACACCTTGGTCGGTGAAAGCGGTGGCCAAATGAGCGGCGGACAAAAACAACGTATTGCCATTGCAAGAGCGATAGTTCGCGACCCCAAGATCATGTTGCTCGATGAAGCTACTTCAGCATTGGATACTGAAAGCGAATCCATCGTCCAACAAGCACTTGACAAAGCAGCCGCAGGTATAAAAGTCGGAGATTTTAACAATCATTTTATGCACCGATTGGTTTCCTAAAAACTGGGTTTTACTCTAGTTATCTGGTCATTGTTGCACATGCGTTTGAAATTTATTCAGACGCCGTGACCTCATTAAACCCAGATAAATAATGGAAATGCTTTCACATGATTTGGCTTATTTTCACGGCCGGATATCACGGGACCAACCAAGAATGTTTTGATTTAAACGTGATTGAACGTGACGTATCAGCTTTTACAAGACTACAGAATATGTTATTTCACCATATTTTGCAAATGCATTTTTTTTTACCGGTTCGATCATTTGAAAAAATCCCTTTTATTCATCGTCAATCTGTCTTTTGTCAAGTTGATAAATCACGTCTGTAATACGCTGCCATCTGTAATTCGGTTACGCAACGTATTGAGAAAAGAATTTTTGTTGCGCCATATTTTGCCATGGGGAATTTTTAGTCGATACTTTTTGCTAGTCATTTCTAATAATAATTAGTATTTGTATTAGTAATAATTAGCATTGAGATAAAGCTGCTAAATACTGATTTTTAAAACATAAAAATATGAGCAGATTTACGTCAAAATAAAGTTGAACTTGTAGAAAAACAAGTTTTGAATGCTTCTGGTTGACGAAAACACAAAAAAAAATTTTCTTAAGCCATATTGTGTAAACACCTTTTTTGAAACAAACAAACTCCATGGGTGGCAACTTTTTAGATACGTAAATTCGGATATCTGAGAAAAAACTAAATCGGTACTTTCTGCTAACAATTCTCAATAATTACCAGTCTTACCGAGATATTAATAATAGAAGATTTAAATCAGAAAAGTTGATTTCGTTAAAAAATAAGGTTTGAGGGCTGATCGACGAATATACTAGAAACTATTTTCTTGCGCCATATTGTTCAAACTATTTTTGTAAGCAAACAGAGAATATTTGCAAATTAATATTTTCAGCCTAGTATTACATATAAAATTCCATTTCAAATTTACTCCATGGGTTGCCAACTTTTTCTGTTAAATAAGTAGCCGGTATAGAGAGTACTAGGATATTGTGTATATTGAACTGCGAGTCCTTTCTCCTTATCTACCTCCTCCTTTGGATTCTCATGTGGCTGTCACAAGGATGCTTGTACGAGATAGCATTGAAGTGATAAATACGTGAATTCGAATATTTGTCTTTTTTGACACAATTTCCTATTATTTTTAATCTTCCGTACAAACTTAAGTGCATTTGCGATTAAATACCTTTAGTTAGACCTTCTATGAAATACTCATTATTATAGGATGTTATTTGCGAGTTTATCTCCGTATAAGATAAGAGATATGACAAACCACAACCACTCTCCTGGTTTTCGGTTCATGTCGGGTAGTTACCAGTTGACCGGTTATTCGTTTCAGGTGCAAGAAATTGATGATGATGGAGCATCGGCCTCCACGTTAGGCTAATCGCACATAATTATCCCACTCGGAACGTAAATCTGCGCGCAGAGGTTTCGATTGATTAATACGCATTTCCCTTTGTCTCTCAATATGAGTGGTATTAGTTTCATACATAATTTACTGAATCATTTGCATAGTGTTGTGGCATGTTTTTCCATCGAAATTATAGTTTTATATACTTTTTATTGTTAAATTTAGGTCGAACAACCATCGTGATCGCTCACAGACTTTCCACCATCAAAAATGCTGATAAAATCGTGGCTTTCCAAGAAGGTGAAATTGCTGAAATTGGAACTCATGATGAATTGCTTAAAAATCCTGATGGAATTTATAAAAACTTGATCAACATGCAGGTGGTCAATACTAACAGGTCTATCACACCTCCGCCAGAGAAAGGTATTCAAATACTAAGGAAATAAACTTTCCAATCTTTGTATTCGTTGTGTGGGTTGTTGGGCTCCACTACGTAAAAAAATCTTTGAATTAAAATGTATAGAACAGTCATGGATAAAAAGGATTGAAAAATGAGATATGCGTATGATGTGTAATTTTAAACTGATTCTGTATTACTACAAACTTATAAAATAGTTAAATTGTTTATCTAATTCATCCATCTTATCTTGCATGAAGGTAAATCATGGTCATTATTTGATAATGCCGTTAGTCTTCTGAAATAAATCAACAAAATGGTTGTGGTTAAGGATGGGGTTTTCATATTTATCACAAGCAGGATATAGTTGATAGTAAGACGGTTTATTATATACTGAATCACAGCATCTCGTCTGTTCGTAAGATACGGTATAGTATGGGGATAATTCATCATTTTCGTTTACCAGATATATTGCACTTCGATTAGCGAATCATTAATTAATGAGGATTCTTGTGTTAACAGATGAACGACAGTGCTTATCATATGTATTTTTAATAGCTTGTCTTTTCTTTTGAAATACTAAGTTTATTATTCGTCTCTACAGATGGTGATAACCGGTTCTCTACTCAGACATCACTCAAGAGAAAATCTTCTCATAAATTTAGACGTCTAGGTTCAACCACAGGATTTGTAACTTCTTCTCATAATGAGTTTAGTGGAGACAAAGTGAGTATAGATTTGAGAAATAACTATTTTTAGATCGTCGTGGATTACAAATGATAAATGAGCTTGCTAATATATAAACAGTGATCAAATTCAAGTCAGTTTGGCCTAATCGTAGGCTTTTTGTTCCCATGTAGCCCATTGAACTGACATCTGAACGTATAATCCTGAATAAATCTCGCACATTACGATTTCACACTCCTGACTGAGATTGGGATGTCTTTCTGAGATTGTAGAGTGGAAAAATATTTCATGAAGTGTTATTTTTAGCAATAAACAAAAGTTCTGGCATGAAGACGTTTCAGCTCTACCTCATTTCATTGCACAAATAACTCAAGATTTCTAGCATGGAGCATTATTATCTTAGAGAAACGCTGCTAAGTTCATCTCCTATTACAAACTTAAACCACCCTAATCTAAGTGAATTAGAATCACTGTTTAATAAACAATATAAATTGGCCAATTGAAATCAATGGTTTGAGGATCTAACTGTTAAGTTAGACATTATTAAAAATATGTTTTCAATATCTTGAGACTAGGATGCTGTTTTTTGTCAGGATGATGGTGAAGGCGAGATTGAGAAGGAAGATCTGCCAGATGCTCCATTCACCAGAATCATGCAGATGAATAAACCTGAAGGGTGTTATATTGGATGTGAGTTAAGCCGTTTTATCTAAAAATTAACCAGATGCTGATGGTCTTGCAACCTATAGGAAGGACATCTGGCATTATGGAAGATCCACACTGTGACTCTCCTTCGAATGCATAACCCTTAATAGCCCAGGCAACATCTGATTAGGATAAGCTGCGACCTGATGGCAATCATGTTTCTGACGCTGTCAAATTTGTAATTTTTTGACTCATTGATCAATTGATCAAATAAACATTGTTTTGAAAATGAATTAAAGCAAAGTATTGCAACTTGAATGAATAGTTTAGGAAACTTCTTTGAAATATGTATGTTTACATATTTCAGTTGGTTGTATCTTTGCTGCAATGGCTGGTTCTGTTGATCCTGTGAATGCAATATTGTTTGCTTCTGTTCTGACTATATTCACAGAAGGTGATGTGGAAAAGCAACAATATTTGTCTGTTTTACACGCATGTCTGTTCCTTGGACTTGGAGTTGTTGCTTTCATTGCTTACACAATGGAGGTTTGTTTAGAAGAACTTATTATTTATTTTAAACTTTAGAGTCAGTCCTTGTGATATGCTTACGGGAATTGCTTGTATAGTACTTATAAAACGAAACGCTTTGCATTCACATAAATATAGAAGTGTCAAGATTTGATTAATAGTTTGTTGCATATAGTATTGTGCGCCAAGTTTTCTCACATAGTGAACTTGAAGCCCATGTCCAATCTTCACCTGATTTCTTTGCATTATGTCATTTCAAATATTTTAAATTTGAGATTTTATTCAGGCTATATGTTACAAACATATTAGTCACATAGCACAGTGCTCTTCAACAGGGGTTCCGCGGAACCCTAGGGTTCCGCAACACATATAGTGGGGTTCCGTGAATTTATAGGGTTCTTTAGGGGTTCCGCGTAAAGAAAAAATTAACTGCTGGGCCAGTAAAGTTGCAAAAAATGATTATTCTTCTGTTCCGTTTTTGGATGAATTTCTGAGTGCGCAACAGCAAGCAGGACTCTTAGATATCCGTAATGATATTAATTCGGAGGAAACCTTCGAAAAACATGGAAAGGAATATTTTTGGATATTTCTTTACAAGGAGCCATTGCAAAAGAAGCATTAAAACTTCTGTGTCAATTTTCCAATACCTATTTGTGTAAATCATTATTTTTGCTATTTGGGGCTCCACGAAAAATGATATCAGGGGTTCCGCAATAACAAAAAGGTTGAAGAGCACTGACATAGCATGAATAAATAAATGTTCATTTCAGTATTACGCTCAGCACTCACATTTGTGAATTTGTGGTTACTGGTATATTAAATTCGAGGCAAGGTAGCTTTTTGATATGGCAGATCATAAACAGTCATATACCTACTAGTTTAGAAGCAGGGATGTCTATTTGAATCGTACAGAAATACTGAGTGTATGATAAATAAAACTTTTGTGATTTTTCAGGCAACCTTGTTTTCCAAGTCTGGAATGGAATTGACGACACGTCTACGAAGAAAGGCATTCGAATCTATGGTTCGACAAGATATTTCATATTTTGATGATCATAAGCATAGTACTGGTGCTCTGTGTTCGAGACTTGCAACTGATGCATCAAGAGTGCAAGGATGTACAGGTGTGAGAATGGGAACAATGCTCAAGAACTTTTGCTCATTAGGTAAGAAGACTTTTAGAATATTCATCTATCAATGTAATATCATAGTCTTAAGTATGATACAGACTCATGTTCTTAATTCCTGATAATGATGACAAAGGGCATTATTATGAATGAAAAATCAATATTTCTTGGCCAATTTTTCATGTAGCTTCACTATTCCTAAAATCGTAATGTGTTTTTAACAGGTGTTGCCCTTGGAATTGCTTTTGCATATGGATGGAAATTGACTTTACTAACGATCGGTTTCGTACCTTTCCTTATGATCGGAGGATTCTTGGAAATGGCTCTGTTGATGGGACAAGGAGATGAAGATAAACAAATATATGAGGAAGCAAGTATGTTCTAATTATACAGAAATAAATGATTTAGACGAGCAAAAAGTTCAAATTAGCATAATTTATTTGTAAATTGGAAACTTCGTTGAAATTAAACCTTGTTTATATTTTAGCTTAAAAAAGTAAAAGCCAAGCAAATTTCAAAAATGTGTATGTTAGATATTCATGTAAATTGTGAAGAACAATTTTATGTTTCCTACTATTGTTATAATTCAATTTAATTGATTATCCATTCAACCTGTAATACCAACACGCTGGTCATATACTTTGATTTCGCTTATGATACAATATTGATAATTAAAAGTTTGGATCATTCATGAAAATTCATTGAGTGCCAAGATAAGATCTGCTGTTTGTTTCACTATACTCAATGATTTACATTTCAGGCAAGATAGTAACTGAAGCTGTGAATAATATTCGTACTGTTGCTTCTTTGACAAAAGAAGAAAAGGTTTTTCAGATTTACAATGAAAGGCTGGAGGAACCTGCAAAGTATGTTGAATAATACCATAAATTTCTTATGCTATTTAGATTTCTAATGTTTATTTTTTTTTGCAGAAGTGCAAACCAAAAAGCTCTCATCACTGGTCTTGGCTATGGTTTCTCGCAATGTGTCATTTACTTTGCATACGCTGGAATATTTCGCCTTGGAATATATTTGGTTGAAATTGAGGATATGTCATTCGAAGATGTTTTCAAGTAAGTTATTCCTGGAATTACGATTCACAGTATAAACTCAGTTTCTCTCTACGTCACGGTATTTCGTTCCCTATTCAGTGATAACTGCCCAGAGTAGTCCTCGTTCATCTTTGTAAATTACCGGTATGATAAAGGGATGTGTAAACTATGGTATTCTAAAATTACTACTCTCAATTTAGTTTAATTGTCCAAAATCAAGAATCTTGGTTATGCTAATTTTTCTCCCAGGGGATCCCCCAAAACAGCGCTCTTACTCCATGGTGACACCTTGTGTCCCATCACTAATTAATTAATCACTCGCTAATTATACGAAATAATTCATCCAAAATCAATAGGCTTCTGGTCCGACATATGATGAATGCACATGCAAGATCTGGAGCAGGTTCAATCTCATTTTCGTGAGATATCGCGTGCATCTAACAGACAAACAGACAAATACCTATCAACATACTTACCGATTAAAATCGATAAGTATTGATAAACAGTCAACAATACAATTCCTCGGAGTAGACCATACACTTTCGACTTTGCTAATTGATTGATTATGCCAGAAAGCATACTTGATCGTAACTATCAACTTGCAATTTATTCATATACCTGGCATCAGATGGGGAGATGCGTGTTTTACATACTATAAACTATAGTTCGAGTTATTTAAGTTTTTCTGTGTTTTGAATTTGTTTTAAGTGCTGATTTCGCTGCCTCGAGTTTGGTTTAGCTTGCATATGTATATCTTGCATCTAAGTGTATATCAATCATTTGAAATATTTGAATTTTCAATCACAGGGTCCTTACTGCTGTTATATTTGGGGCTATGGCAGTTGGACAAAACAGTTCATTCGCACCTGATGCTGCAGAAGCACAAGTATCGGCAGCTAGAATGTTTAAGTTATTTGATTCCAAACCTATTATTGATGCGTACAGTGATAAAGGACATAAACCAGTAAGTTGTTTGTATTTTATTACAATAGTCGTTTTACCAACATACTTCTGAACTATTGTTTAACAAATACAATTATTATCAAAATTTTTGATATTTTTTGTAATGATTTTTGGCATATGTTCCAATTATCGATTAAAAAGCCAATTCAATAAATCATTTTTGTTTAAAGGTTGTTCGTCATTCTAGTCAATAATTTGAATCACATGCATTGCATGACTGTTGCAACATAGATTCACTGTTATCCAAACAATCTCTTATAGTTCAGGATAGCCTGACTAAGTTATTGAGTCCTCAATAGTAATAAATAGCATGACCAACGGTTTGAATCGTTTGGTGCTAATTCCGTTGAACCAATGCACATTCCAACACTCAAGTCTTATATATACAGTATCAGTAATTGCAATTTTGAAACCCAGTAACCAAAATGACTTTACTTTATTACAGCATACTTGCAAAGGCAACATCGAATTCAAATCTCTAGACTTTACATATCCTACCAGACCAGATACACTTGTATTGGAAGGGCTTGATGTCAGTGTACCATCTGGTAGTACACTTGCTTTAGTTGGACAATCAGGTTGTGGAAAATCTACATGTATTCAACTTATTGAAAGATTTTATGATGTGGTGGAAGGAGGAGTGGTATGTATCAACTCAGTGGTTCTCAAAGTGGGCGTCGCGGCGCCCAAGTGCGTCGTTTTACTTTTTCTAGGGCGTCGCAAACATTTTCCTTTTTTTTTGCGGAATTATACCTGCGGTGCGTACACAAAGTGAAACTTCTCGTTGTTATTGTTTAAAATTTAAATCACACTTGAAAACTGGAGAAGACTGTCGATTTAAAAATTGTAACGATCAACGTTATTTATATGAGACCTCCCTAATGTCATGAGTCATTCAATACTGTTCCCATTATGACATCACACACACACACTAGGTAGGCTTGAGTCATGCATGTCATTCATTTTTAATCCTTTTTATAAACATGGACGTACAGAGCGTTGTTGAGCAACGTTCAGCACTTCGCCTGCGTGTGGACTCAAACGGATATTCAATATTGACACCGCGGCAGTTTTCTTCGGGCACAACTTAAATAAAACTCATTGCGAAAGATGTTATTTATTGAAAGATATTAAGACGTTTTTCACGGGAAGTCGCAACTTAAACATATTTTCCTAAGGGTGTCGCAATACCAAGAAGTTTTGAGAACCACTGTATTAATTAATGAATTATTTCTTCAATGTCAGTTAGATGCTTCGGTTAAAATATTGTGATATAAGATCTTGTGGAACTTGGTCTGAGAAAGTTGTAGAATTTTTTTGATTTGTTCTAGCTCAAAATATTTCTAATTTCTGAATTTTTTTGGGGGACTGTAAATTTAAATCAAAAACTGATGGAGAAATAGAATTTAATTTTAATGTAATATAAGCATTTCCTTCTTCTTTGTAGCATGGCACATATTGAATATATTCTGATTAAAAGATAGATGGTTTGTTCATCTGATCGTGGATCTATACTTAGATAATGGCTTGATTCCAATGGATTATTCCAATTTTTCTGTTTTATTTATTTCCAGATGGTTGATGGTTCTGATGTAAAAACATTGAATGTGGCATGGATGAGACAACAAATGGGAATTGTATCACAAGAACCTGTCTTGTTCAATATAAGCATCAAAGAAAATATTTTGTAATTTTATATTCTTTCTTAAAATTTGTTAGAAGAATTCAAATTTGTTCACGTCTATTATTTAGTTGAAACATTCAATTTGCTGCAATTAGGTGGGGTATTCAAACACAGACTAGGTTTCATAAGATATCACGTTTTGTGCAATCACGAACATTTCATCAAATAATTTTTTCATATTCATTTCGTACTAACATGATTGACAAGCAAAGATTGTCAAAACTGAATAATTGAATAATGCAATCGAGGAAATTTTTGAAGTATAGAATATGAAATATATTCTAAATTTGGCCCCATTAACAGTGAAATTTGCACAATATTTAAAAATTCGACTTTCAGGTGGCTGAAATGATATTTCATCCAGAAGAAAAAAATCTTCGAAAATCAGGAATTTATTATATCAATCAAATACAGCCAATATAATACATATAGAAAAAATTTATGAAAGAATGCAGAAAAAAATCGACTGTGTTTTTCCGAATCCAGGCTCCTGGAAATTTATTTTTTTATTCTTTCCATATTCAGTTGCATGGATTTAGTGTAGCAGCATGCATATGTCTTCCAGAAAAACTGTTCACTGAATTAATTTACAAAAACCAAGTACCAGTAATGGCATTATAAAATTTCATAAAAAGTTGTTCCGTATTATAATTGCGTAGACTTGGTGACAAAACACGATCATACACTGATAAAGAAGTATCCTCTGCTGCCGCTGGTGCAAATATTCATGAATTTATATCCGGTCTTCCTGAGGTTTGTAGTTTATTTATTTATTGTATTTTGCAGTCTTTTAAGTGTTTTAATACTGCTATTTTCCTTTTTGAAATCAGTTGAAGTTCAAAATATTGAATTAACCTGAGTTTTAGCCGTTTATCATGTGTTTGCTGTTTTTCGATAGCTTCTGATTGTTTTTCATAGGTAATTGTATTGTAAAATAACATAATGCACAACTTTATGTTGAGACAGGAAATTGCCCTTATATTTTAATTTATTAATGCCTGTTCCTACAACTTTTCAAATTGTCAGGGGTACAATACAAAAGCAGGGGCAAAAGGTGGCCAACTGTCTGGTGGTCAGAAACAAAGAATTGCTATTGCAAGAGCTTTATTGAGAAAACCAACTATATTATTATTGGATGAAGCAACATCTGCATTGGATACAGAAAGTGAAAAGGTATGTTAAACTATTCAGCATGATGATTTCTTTCTTTTACCATTCCTACAAAACTGGTTACCCCAACGTGTTCCTTGACTCAAATTGAACTGTTTAATTTCATACAATCTAAATATATATGCGTTGTAATACACATAATGACATATTTTAAATGTAAGACGTCAGATTTTTGAATAAAACCTGTTTGCAGTTATTCCCAACTGATAAAGCGCTGTCGTTGTTAGTACCGTATATACTGTAATTTACCTCACTGATATGATTTGTAGTTTTGCGAATGACTGAATATAGTATAGGACGTCTTCTTCAATATTTATTTTTTGATATGTTTTATAGATTGTACAAGAAGCATTAGACAAAGCACGAGAAGGTCGTACAAGTATCATAATAGCACACAGATTGTCAACTGTTAAAAATGCAGACATTATCGCAGTTGTTGACAAGGGCAAAGTTGTCGAAACTGGAACACATGAAGAACTTCTAAAGAAGCGAGGCGCATACTACAGGTATAATCATAACATAGACGCCTACTTGCTATCAGCATAATAAGCGTGGTTTGAATTTTAATATTGAGGTTCAATATTTCCTTCTTCGTCAATATCAATTATTTTACTGATGTAAAAAATGTTGCTGATTAGAAATATAACTTCATTTTGGAATTTGGGGATAGTCAACCATGTATACTTATGATGTTTTTTATTTCATCTTTTTTACATTGTCCAGAGCGAATATTCGAATTTTTTATTTTTTTTATCTATTAGTATTTCCATTTTTCATTTATTTATTCACGTATTATGCTCATTGATTTTCCTAAAGTGTAAATACTAATTAGGGCTGTCCGTATATATTTGAATGTTATTATCAATCTGGGTTTGGGCCAGAACGCCTAATATTTTATTGTTTCTCAAGTTTCAATGAAAATATTTCCCAATTCTCATTACTTTCCTTCTATGCAGTCCGCATTTGGTTTGCAACCATGTTAGGATTTATTATTATTTACTTGTCACCTGAACAGCTAACAGCCATAGTTTCCTTTAGGGGTCGGTCGATCATGTAGTCTTGTCTGTTCCCTTCCGATTTTATTTTCATCTACTTTTAATGGTATTTGAAATAAATCTCATCTCTATGTATTGTTCAATTTTCTAGTTGATAGCAAGGTGTAAATGAATGGCTGAAAGTGTAAACAACCCAGGATATGTAACAAACTAACTAAAAATGTTATTCAACTATTACATTTGAACTATAACATTCAATGAATCTTTATGTCACAATACTCTTGATGTCAGTGTAGAATTCTTAAAAGGCGTGATGACGTGCATGCCAGCTATCTTTAATAACACCTGAGTTCGTTTTGCATGCCAGCACTGAACTCTATTTTCAATTATTTTTTCAGTTTGGTCAATGCCCAGCTCACACATCAGTAGTAGGCAAAAGAAGCAATATTTTCCTCTGTGTTCACAAAAGAAGTTAGAAGATTGGATTACTGACGAATGCGTTCAGAAAACTTGCCATGAGCATTTTTTCCCAAAGTTTTTTATTGAGTTTTTTCTTGTTCTGCACCATCAATTTTTTGTAACAAAGGATCCTTTTTATACACGACAATGAGTGGTTCATACAGTATAAGTGTTTCATTTTACGATAGTGCTTGGCTCTCGTTATATAAATATGTTCATTATTCTTCACAAATACTTACTGTTAAGGTTGTTAAGTTTTTAAATAAATGGCTTTAAAGAGGTATATCTGATTGGGTACATTTTGTCTTTTTACTGAAACTTTATCAAGGAAAACAATGTTCTCGCAATATTTCCCAATATTTTTGCCTTCAAAATAAGTGTCAAAACTTTTTAACACATAGCACTTAGATATTAGAGCATAGGTTCTCAAAGTGCTCCGTACAGAGCCCCAGGGCTCCGTGAGAGAAAACTAGGGGCTCCGCGAACTATTCGATTACAGATCGGCTAATTTTGTAACTCTCCAAAGAGGCAATAACAACAGTTGAAATGAGATTTGACAACTGGGTCGTCGAAATATGGCAACAATGCGGAAATTCTAATATATATATCACATTTTCTATAAGCAGTATCGCAGCCAGGATTTTTGAAAGGGAGGGGAAGGCCAAATTTGGGATCGAAAATTTCCACGCAACCTTATTCGCGATTTGGCAACTCGTTGAACAAAGACTTTTCAGCGGATAACGAGTTTTCTGTTGCATAAAATATTCAATCGGTGGCCGATGAGAACGTTTATAATGTCTTTAGTCATTTAATTGTGTCCATCGTAGCTCGCCTTTGAGTTGAGATTTTACTATCACGATAACTGAAATGAAAGATTAATTATTTTAAAAATAATATCAAATACGTGCTAAACTTCCAACCATAGATGATAGAATCGTATTTTTGCGATATTTTGATTCGTCGAATTTGTGTGTTTTTTCAATCCTCAAGATTATTTTAAGCAAGATATATTGGCCATTACTGAAATGAAAGATTATTATTTTAAAATAACATCAAATACGTGCTAACTTCCAACCATAATGATAGGAATCGTATTTTTTGCGATATTTTGATTCGTCGAATTTGGTGTTGTTTTTTCAATCCTCAAGATATTTTAAGCAAATATATCGCCATTTCAAAATCCCAAAGTCGGGCAATTCATGACATGATGTCCATTGGGCTTAATTGTGGTTGGATGTAAGCTGTGGTTGCGTCAACTTAGGGACTACATCATATCATTACTTACTGTTGTCAAGTTTTTTTTTTACCCTTCTTCCTCTACCGCTGATTTCGGTCACTCGAACCCCGTGCTGCTTCTCTCCTCTTGGCTGCTCTTTTCGCCAATTTCCTTCCTATTATTAACTCGTTACATGTTTTGGCCTCGCTGAATCCACCACTCCCACTCGTGTCTCCTATTATCTCGTGATTACTATAATTGCTTCGCTGGATCGCGCTTCTCTCCTCTTGGCTGTTCTTTTCGCCAATTTCCCAATATTAACTTTTTACTTTCACTCGTCTACTCGCTGATTATTATTATTGCGCTCCGCTCTGATCGCTGGCTTGATGTATTTTCGCTCATTTTCCGATTTCCATGGCTACGCCTCGATTAATTCACTCTCACTGTCTCTCTCAATGGTCCCCTTGCTGATTTCTATTTTCGCTCCATCCTCCTGATCGCCCTGATCGCTTGGCCTTCTCCGCTCAGTCACTGGCTTCTATTTCCTTTTCAACTCTGTTCTCGTCTGCCCTCTTTACCCCTCGGCTGTCTGTCATGTCTGCTGGTCCATCCCCTCAACTCAATCTATCGTGTGGGGTTCGAACCAAAGTCGCAATGTTTGATCATGTTACTACGTTTCCCCTGAGCTACCGCTACCGATGAGGATAGGGTGGATTAGAATCTTAATTAATTAACGACGTCACGCGTCAGCCTATGACGAGGCTAATTACCCCTCAAAAATTACATTGAACATGCTTCGTTGATTCGAAGCAGGTGTATTCATACCTCTTTTGAAAGCGTTTATTTGGGACTATTGCGTGCGCTGCATCAACTATTGAATGTGTGAATATCCCAGCACAGCAGGTAAGGTACCTAATCAAATCACTTAAATTTTCTATAAATGCAAAAACTTTTATCTTGGCTAGAATATCTTATAAATTAACTTATTCCTAGGCTATATGTGTGCATCTTGATAGATAGATTTTATTTCGATTCATTCGCAAAAACAAAATAAACTTATATATATACATATACACACGGCTGTCCTATTGGTTCCCCTTATTGGACACGTTTAGTGGCCATAACGATCGTTTCAATATTATGTTGTTGTTGTTGTTGTTCTTGTTCTTTGACACGTTTTTAAAAAGTCGCTTTTCTCTTCGAATACTGGACCAATTGCTTTGAAATTTTCAGTGGTTAAAGATTAATTTTTTCGCTAGAAGGCTATTACTTTTATTTATTTCAAAATTTTGCGTGAATTCTATGAAATTTGATATTTCGTCTAAAATTTTGCTGTATCATTTTTTATCCATGAGAACACGGATTTTAGTCAGTGTCATGACTGGCTGTACGTTTTGATTCTGCAAAATTCTTGCTACTGGAAATTCAGAACTTTTTTGAGGGTACCGGTAGCGTCAAAGGTACCGGTAAGGACTGATTCGCTCTGGTCTAACGTGTCCATATATTTGTGCGTAGCTCTCTTGTTTTCGGGATAAATCAAATATGAATATCTTTCTCTTTCTCAAAAATTTATTCGCTGCTTGATTTAGTGACCGTATGGTCCTTCCAACCTCCTATCAATTCCGTTGTTAGTCGATTTATTCTTCTTTTACTTATTGAATGTTGTTGTTTGTGTTTGATTTGTTGGCTAATGACTGGGTGATGAATAAACTTCTATCTATCCATCTATCTGCTCATTCATTGTCGCTAAGTTGTTTCTGCGATTGCATTCTCGCAAATGTTTGTTTTGCATAACGCCAGTCGCAAAAATATAAGTATAGGGTTAGTGGTATTCGCGCAAGAGTCCATTTTCGTCTGGACCTTTTTATTTGGTGTGGGAGGAGGCTAGTTAGTACTGAGCAAAAGCCCATATATACTGAGTTACCGTATTGTGTCGGTACGGGTGCAGCCGGTATATTTAAAATTATCAAAATCTTTTTATTTAGTTGTATACCATACCGGTACAGTTCTTCAGTACGTGACACACTTTATATATTCAGATTGTAATTACGGTACCGGTATTTTATAAAGGTCAGGCGATTGCCGTTGTTAAATTGAATACCGTACCGGTACCGGTACCGGTATTGATTTCTAAACAGTGAGCAGCGGAAAAAAAATAATAAGTTACCCGTGTTAAAAAAATATGGCCAAGCTGGTTTTGTATGAAGTCTCCGATTACAGGATTACCACCGAAACTGCTTGAATATTCCCAAACAGAATGTGATGTGAATTTTTTTTTTAAAGTCTGTCTAGCACGGAAATGAAATACTTGATAGGTGCGTTGATGCGTTTAGTTAAAATAAAATCCACTATCCTATACTACCGGTACCGGTATTGATTTCTAAACAGTGAGCAGCGGAGGAAAAATAATAAGTTACCCGTATTAAAAAAATATGGCCAAGCTGGTTTTGTATGAAGGCTCCGATTACAGGCGCGGCGGTGTGGCTCAACGGGCTAAGCGTTAGGAATACGCTCGCCACCGCACCTCTAATTACTCTGCATGGGTTCGCAGGTTCGAATCCCATGCAGGGATGGTTATGTGCGAGAGGATTGCTGGACTCCTCGCCGTCGTTGGGTGGTTCACATAACCGCTGGTCGGTTACGGCTTCCTCCACCACCAAGTCCATGCTTCCGAAAACAAACAATACAGTAAAACTAATCCCATACCCGACTTGGAATGGTAACCGGACGAGAGGCCGTGGTTCGCCATATGGATAAGCCGTCTTATCGGCTTTTCTCTCCCCCGGGATAAATATGTAAATCCTATCCTATCCCCAGTCTGGATTTCATGGCCTTTTTGAACGAGAAATCGGGCGTGCAATCAGAAATTCCCGCGTGCAAATAAGAATTCCTGGCGTGCAATTATAGCTCACGACGTGCAAAACAACTGCACTCGCGTGCAACTGACTTTGACATCAGATACCTCTCAATACATCCGCGTAAAATTACCGGTATCGGATAAAAAATACGTTGAATCAGAGAAAAAATGGACGTTTGACCTTTGACCCCAAACATTATTTCTACAGTTTGTCGCTAATTTTGAGAGTGTTTGTGCGACTTTGGATACCGGTACTGTTCAGTACATCCGCGTAAAATTATTGGATAATAAATATGTTGAACTAGAGCAAAATGGACATACTTTGTCATTAATTTTGGTAGTGTTTTTACGTAGAATTAATGGATAAAAAATACGCCAAATTAGAGCAAAAATGGACGTTTGACCTTTGACCCCAAACATTATTTTCATACTTTGTCACTAATTTTGGGAGTGTTTGAGCAACTTTAGATACCGGTACTGTTCAGTACATTGGTGTAAAATTATTGTATGAAAAATACGCTGAATCAGAGCCGTACTTGGCCATTGGTGCGGAGGCGATCTTTTCGTCCATAACTATTCTCACGGGATTCCTATTTCCTATCATTCAACACGATATGGACCTTTCCCCGAGCATCGACTTCCTTGTTTACTTCGTGACATTGGCCAATCAGCAAGATGCAAAAAAGGACGTAACAATGAGAGGAATTTTTCGCGGGTCAAAGGTTGGGAAAAGGTCCATGGTCTTTTTGCTTCGCAATATTTCGATCAGACCAAATCTTGCAGGCTGGTATTTGTCGACAATTGTGGAGTTATAATATTTTGGCATCTTTATATTACTGGATTATTGATTTTAAAACCATTTAAACCGATTTACATTGGTGAGCAATTGCAAATTTTCGGCGTGCAAAATTGATTTCGCTCGCGTGCATTTTTGCGGAGCGCTAGCGCCCTCGGGCGTGCACCTGCCATGGAATCCAGTCTGGTCCTATCCTACAGGATTACCACCGAAACTGCTTGAATAATCCCAAACAGAATGTGATGTGAAATTTTTTTTTTAAAGTCTGTCTAGCACGGAAATGAAATACTTGACAGATGCGTTTCTGCGTTTAGTTGAAATAAAATCCACTCGATTTTCAACTAAGCCAGTACAGCAGTATATCCCATGTCATATACCAGTAGGGTATGGACAGACTATGTCGTACTGTATACTGAAATAGAGTACCGTATACCAGTAGCATTCTGACTCAACTTCTGTCCGAGACTACTTTTATTATGGAAAAATAATAAATTTTGGACTTCATTTTTTTTACATCATGTTTTTTTTTTGGTTGGCATTATTTAAAAACTTGCTCCGTGTACTTCGTTAAACTCCACGTGCCCCACACCACATAGTTTTTATCCCCATTGTTTATAGCGCAATAGATCTGTACTTGGTATTCAAGAATTTTTCTCTGTCAGATTAAATTCATCCAGCAGTACGGTGCTTATAATTTTTAACATATTGCAGTATTCTGGTATAGAGAGATCAATAGTACTGAACTAGTTCCAATTACTTATTCATGTATTGGGTGGTGAAAAAATCTGATTAACTCATTCTTTACCACCCAGTCATTAATAAAAGATTTTATTTTAAATCACTCATTTGGTCTATTATTTATGTTTTGTGTTTCTGGTTAGTGGTTTAAAGAATAATTAAGTTGTTTATCTCTCACAATAGGTGTATACCTTATGTGTGAAAGGATAATTAAGAAATCCTCCTTTCATAATTATTCAATATACAACTGTTCAGATCATTACTTGTACTAAACTATACTATTAGTGATTTCCTTCATTTAGTGTGAACCACAGTCTGACAATGGAACCTATTAATGGATATCCTAATACTATATTATCTGAGAATGATACTGATAAATCATTAGAAGCATTAAAAAAGTTCAATGCAAAGAATAGTGGCGCTTTCATTTTTGGCAAAAATGACATGCAAGAAAGAAAACTATTTGTCTCACATTTATTGGATATTTTAAAGTCTTCTCTGGATGGTGGAAGCACCTCAGAATCTGAATATGTGTTGGAAAGCCTTTCTGCTCTAGTCGTAATGTCTAGAGATCATATGTCAATGAATGGAAGATTTTTGAATCGAGAAACATGGAAGATATTGACAGTGATTGCTGGATTACTGGATAAAAATGGGAAGGCAATGACGGTCATCGAAACGTCTAAGATACTGTTTACACTTGCTAGTAAATGTCTATGCAATATCATGTTCATTTCAAAAGATTCGCAAGGTTATTGTTGCGACGATGAACTTATAAAAGGCATTTTGCAACGTTTGAAATCTCTGGATCCCAAAGATGAATCAAATGATACTGAAGTTGAATTTTTAACACTTCGATTGCTGTTTCTCGTTTCTGTGCTCAATGTGCAAGCAAGAACAAAGATTATTGAAAACCACGAGGGTAGCCGAGTCTTGTTGGATTATTTGAATTCGAAATTGACATCATCAAAAAGAGTTGTTAAACCTACGCCATGTATCAGAGCTAGTATTTCTCCTGCACATGCAAAATCCTGTTGTGAAATATTAAGAACACTGTTCAATTTGAATCTGAAATATCGGCATGAAGAAAGTCAAGTAAAGGAAGAAAGAATTACTATTGAATTTGATGATTTGACATCAATTTGTCGTAAATGTTATTTGGTTCAAGCAGGTGATGACAAAGTTTTGACGGAGAAATTACATGGTGACGCAGGAAATTGTTTATACACTGTGCCCAGATCTTGTTTACTTGATGATACGATAATTCCTTTAATTGACAAGTATGACCCTGATGATGTGTTTTCATACAATGGCGAAGACATCCCGCAATGGGAGGAAAGAGATCTCAGTGCTGTTTTGAATATTTTAAAGAAGTTGAATTGAAGATTCACAATAAGTCATTGACAACTGAAAGCTTGCAACTGTTCTTTTCACTGCCTGAGCCACATCAGCCGTACATCAAGATATGTCCAGAAAATATTGCAAGAATTACGTTATCCCACCACGTAAGGATTTTGAGCATCGTCCTGAAGTTGGACCAGAATTCGTAATAAATTGATAAAGCTTTTCACACATGCTAACACAGAAGTAAAAGCGGCTGCTGCTGATTTTGTGTTTGTCTTGTGCAGAGAGAAGGTGGAGAGACTTGTTAAATACACTGGTTATGGAAATGCTGCGGGATTGCTTGCAAGCAGGGGGTTACTCGCAGGAGGCCAGGGAGATACAGTTTATTCTGATTGTGATTCTGACTCTGACACAGAAGAATATTTAGAAAATGCAGAGAAAATTAACCCCATTACTGGTCACATTCCACCTAATATTCCCAATCCGATGGAAGGTATGTCAGAAGAACAGAAAGAATATCTTGCTGTTCAATTAGCAAATCAGATTTCGAAATTGTCAAGTGATGATATTATCAAACCTGTATGTATCGATCCAGATACTGGTAATCTGGTTCCTTTTCAACAAAAAGTCCACAATATGCAATTACCAGAAGAGAAAGATTCTGATGAAGACATTGATTGAAGATTACAGATTGACATAATATAAGCTTTTTGCAGCAAAATTTTCTGAACTCATCTTCCTTTAAATAACTAACAAAATATTGCGATAGGAATGGAAGTTCATTATTTGAGAATAATTTGTCTTATTATTATATCCTGGGTAAAACTTATGTTGTGTGAAATGCAAAACTAACCTCGAATAAAATTTTGGACACTATCTTTTGAGGCTGATATGCCAACCATTGGCACCTTGGAGGCATTCCTGTATCTTAGTCCAGCTTTAACTGTGATAGTTTTGAAGCAAATTGCTTTATTTGTAAAAACATATTTCAAGTCTGTACATTTTTTAATGCATATATGTAATTGTGCCCATCTGTTGCCCGTTTTCTCTTTTTTAATTCTATGTTTAATGAAATTTTATGCTGCATTCACCAAGTTATTTGTTTTGAGGGAATCATGTCTGTTTTAGTAATCGTTTCTTATGAATTTAGTTTTATTATTTGAATAAAAAAATTTTCTCTGTCAGTTGTTTCAAAATAATATTCATGTCATTTCTTGCAATATATTAAGTCAATTAATGCGTCACGTATGCTACCAACTTTCCTAAAAAAAGGTTTTTTAAGCTATATGGAGTACTAGAATTCTGTGTAGTGCATCGAGTATTTGCATTTTGTTGCGATATTAGATTAAGAACTAAATTCTGACATATCTTACACAATGTTAATTTCTGTATATTAGCCAGCTTCTGCAAAATACAATCATGATATGTATAAGTTGGCAAGATTTTTTGCTATATTTTGTATCCAGTTATAACCTATTCTTTTGTAAGGTGTTGTTTGATCACTCGTTTTTGCCTAGTAGAGATTATTGTCCATGGGAGTCATTAAGTTTTTTTTTTTTTTTTTATGTTTATGTGTTGTATCATTGTTTGAAGTTTCAAATTACTCATTTTACAAATTGCTCAATAGAATAACATGGACAAAGATTACAGTCCAGCTCGCCATCAGTTAAAAAAATAACTTATCGAAGGATGATATTTCACTTTATGTGGTTCACTTTATGTGGCAGTCTTTTTGAAATGGCTATTTTGTGATGTTATGACTTATTTTCAGTATATTCAAAGTATTCAGATGTTTTGCTGTTTTTCATCAATATTTTCTACATTTATGTATATATAGCTTCCACATGTTCTTCATGTAACGTATCTTTTTTGTATTTTTGTGATATTATAGCAGGATGGAAAAAGTTAATAAAAAAGTACAGCTAGAATTTCAAAGTCACGTTTCTGAATTGCAAAAAAATCAAAAAGCTATTGGCAAGTGTGTGAAACTACGACAACAGCTTGAAGCTCAACTTACAGAGAATACTCTCGTACAAAAAGAGTTGGATATTCTTGAAAGTGATGCCACTGTTTATAAGCTTACAGGTCCTGTATTGGTGAAGCAGGATTTGAATGAAGCAAAAGCGAATGTGAAAAACGAGTGATTATATTACAGAGGAATTTAAAAAGACAAGAGAAAAACAATTGAGGATTTGGAAAGAAACAAGAGACAACAAGACAAGCATTAATGAAAATTCAAGCTTCGCTTCCAACCAACTGGAAAACAAGTAGCATAGTAAAAGGATAATTTAAAACTGAAATAAATTTGTAGTGAAATATATCCAATTTGGCTTAACAACCACATTTTTTTTTTCAATTATAAATTTTTTGTGTTTGCTGCTAGAAATCTTCAAATTCAATCTATTTGAAGAATGAGGCTGGAAGAATACAGCACAATCTTTGACTTTATCAATCACCACAAATCTAATTGTCCAAGAACAGTTCTCTCTAATGTTATTTCAAACTTTGGGTCTCAATATCAATATCATACACTAATGAGTATATTTTTGACCTGTTTGCAACGAAAAGTGAAAATGACGTACCACTCAAAAATGAAAGAAGAGAAATTGAAATATTATTACAAATTATATAAAGAACGAATGAATATCTCACATCAAATGAATCATAAACAAAATGTAATGAAAAGTAACGAGTTTCCCGCACAAAATATTGAACAAACCTCAATGGAAATTGCAAAATTGTGCAATGGAAAAGAAGCAGTTTCGAATGGCACTGACAGTGGTTCTTCTGATGTAAATGGCAAATCTGTATTGATTGGTATTGCAAATGATTTCGAAATTCCACCTTGTTTAATGGCAAGAATTATTGTAGAGCAATACCTCATTGAAGAAAAAGCTTCTGCCAACAACAAAGAAAATTTTGCTACGGGAACAGTGATTGGTAACAGAAAAAATCAAAATGTTACACAAGAAACTACAGTTGGATCACTCAAAATGGAGAATATAAATAATGAACAAGTGCAGAAAACTGTACATCTTGCTAGAGTTGATGGAACTAAATATTCACCTTGTCCGGCCTCTCGTATTGGGTTATCAAATAAATCTAAACCAGATGTTAGTTTTCCGCCAATGAGCAATCACCAATCTTCCACACAATCAATGCCTACTAGCAAACCCCCTAGCACAAGCTCTGTTTCACAAACATCGATCAAAAATAAAGTGTCATCTTGGATGAAAGATCCTTTTCTTATACCAGATGAGAAGCTTCGTGAACAAGTTTTGCAATGTATAAGTTTTGATGTGTGTTACGGCCCAATTAATGATGCTATCCGACATTCGGTTGGTCTTGAATTTGAGGAAAAACTCGTTCGAAATGTAAAAAGGCACAATCTACCATTTCTGGATGAGAATGATCTAAGAAAACGAGGATATGACAAAACTCCTGATGTAAAACTGGAAGTTCCAATATCAGTAAATGGTTATCCGGTTTGTTGGATAGAAAGCAAAGCATCATTCGGTGATTTACAAACTCATAGTGAATATTTGAGAGACCAGTATTATAGTTATTGGAATAGATTTGGTCCTGGTATAGTTATCTATTGGTTTGGGTTTATTGATGGAATCTCTGATGAGATGAAGAAATTGGGAATACTAGTTATGGACGATTTTCCATCTGATGAACAAATTTCTTTCATGAATCCATAATCTTGGTGACTTTTTCAATATTTGAAATTTTTGTATTTGTTTAAAATAACTCCTATTTATAGATTGGTTGGTTTAGTTTGGATTCTTATATAATTCAATATTTTTCAAACCATTTTACTATTGATCTAAACCAGTGGTTCTACACCCGTGGGGTAACTATGAAAAAAATCCTTTCTGCAAAAATAAACACCTTTACTTCAATAACTAGAATGCCACCCTGTAGCAAAATACAGCATTGTCATTCTTTGATACTATCATCAATCTAGCTAAATTTATCAATATCTTTAGCAATTTTTTGTGTCCCATCTGAAAATGTTGTTCTGGCCAAGCAGTGGCTATGACTCACTGGTTTAGAATCGGTGGTTTAATTAAACAATACAGTGCTTATTAAGAAGTATTTATGGCGTAATTTAAGTTCTGATCTGCTTTAGTATTGGGTTTCCTTCTTTTAGTTTTTCATTGAGACCTGCTTCATTTATGGTTTTTGTTTGTGTAAATGACTAATTTTCTTATTGATTCATCTAGTCTAGTCAATAATAAATAAAGTTCGAATTTCTATCCTTAATATCAGGATGTATACCAATATTTTCATTTCCATAGTAGGGTCGGACCGATATCACCTACCAATAATGAATTAAAGTATTGGCTAATTTTAACATCAATTGTTGTTGTCTAATCCTGTGATATGGTGTCATAGTGATTTTCCCATATTCAAATTCACTCAATGCCAAGTGTTCCTTGCTTTTCTATGCTCGTTGTAGGCTATCATTTTTATGCTTATTTTCCTATTATGTGATTGACATATCAGAATGATGTGATTTTTGTGTGGCGTAGTCAGATTGAGGCCAGATAAGACATATATGCAGAAATTGTTAAGTCATGCCAAGACCAGAACCCATCATTTTTGTGGAAAAACATTGATATTTTCCTATTTTGTGTAGTGTTAGAGAACTATCAATCTTATTACTATGTTGGTACCGGTCGGGCCCTACTTTTGATGTATGAAGTGGTATTTTATTGATGGTAGATTGCTATCGTTTTTATATGCCTGGGCCATTTGATAAATTTGGTTACAAATGCTTGCTTTCGATTTCTCTATGTTCAATACAGCAAACTTTGTATCATGCTTTCTCAATTGATATTTGTAATGTAACTGTGTTTTTTGCAGCAAATATAAATATAATAATAATGTGAAATTCTTGAATTGGATGTTGAGTGACTTAAAGTCAAAATGTCAAAGCAAGAAGTAACAGTAAAAGATGTTATGGAGGTATGTTGATTATACGAGTAAAAGCATGTACAAATGCAAAGTAGCTTTTTTTTCGAATACCGATACATGACAAAATAGGCATAACAGTCATTGATTAGCTATACAACCTTGAAAGAATTTTATAATTTTTAAGCCATGTTTTAAAATTCAGCAATCTGCGATATTTAAAACCATGATAAAAAAAGGTGATGCTGCTCTTATAAGTAGGATGAACAAATATGATTGGGCTGATTGATGTATGGCTTAAAACAATTTTCATCGCTGATGGACATGTCATTATTTTTTTCATTCAGACGTCTCTTTCTGCTTTTCACTGACGACTTATCACTGATAATAAACTTTTGAGTGTTATCTTTGGGTTCAAGGTAACAATCTCAATCAAACTCACAGATTCTTCTATCACACCACACAATAATAAGATGACAGATTTGTTCCCTTCTTCTCACAATTGACATTTCCTTTTAAACATATTGCAATTATCGAAATTATGTATAGTGCACCAGTCTCCAACATTCCTCCCATGGCCTATTTGACACTCTTACCATTCCCCACCAGGCATAAAAAATTGTTTTGTGCCACATTGATATGCGATTTCAACGACATAAAAATACTTTGGTACATGATTTCACTGGCTTAACATGATCTCAATCGCATACCAAAGTGACACTAAGGGATTATTACTAAAAATCACTGAGATTTCACAATGCTGAGATTGTTTATTTAAGTGACATTGACATGGAATATTTTTTCATTTCTGGTATTCAATCTCTAACGGATCATTAGCTTGTGTTACTCGCAAACAGCACTCTGGCTTTTGTACGTTACATCTCTGCTACTTTGAAATCTAGTTGACAGGATAGTGCGTAATATTAAAATTTCATCTACCTCTTTTATAGGCTATATGATTGTTAAATAATCTGTCACAATTTTCATTATATTTTGCTGTATAATGCGGAGTTATTCATCATGAGTTGCTGATCTTATAAATAAATCATGACATCCATATGAAGTACCGGTAGTCAAAATATTGTGGTCGGTATCACTAATTTTGGTTAGTATTTTGCCTTGGGCAAAGGTATATGATGTAGCTGATAGTATCACCATGACATTGTACATTTTTGTATGTACATATATATCTTGTGAGTGGCATAGGTATAGTCAAACAACAAGCTATCAAATATGGAAGGAAAACTTGTGATTGTGATTTTATGTTGCATCTTCAAAGCCTCAGCAAATGGTATGTATGTAGGATATATGTTAAGTGGTTTTTATGTTATGATTATGAATAGGTCTAAATCTGATAACTATTTTACTTTGTATTGTTTAATCCTGTAAATGAACAGGGTAGGGTATATAACAGTTCCACTTTATCACTATAGAGACTTTCGAAAAAGAATTTAAAGTTTTTATTACATAATCATTATCTTGCTTAATTTAAATTACTGTCAAATGATTCACTTTTGTACATTCCAGGAGGAAAACAGAGTAACGGTGGTTTAAAAGTCAGTGTCACAACTACCACTGTTCCACTACCAGTTTGTATCAAGTATTCAACTGGTGCATATCTGACAAACGGACATCGAGTCTACTTTCAAACTGCTAAAGTTGTTAATGGTTCTGATACAAAACTTCCAATTCTACTTCTCCATGGAGCTGCTTTCTCGTCACAGACTTGGAGAAAATTAGGAACATTACGGTTCTTGGCAAAAAATGGCTACAATCCTATTGCTGTTGATCTACCAGGATTTGGACGCACAAAAGGCTATTTTCGAGGAGACACTGATGATTTTATGGATGAACTTATTGCTAATATTGGAATTGAAAGACCTATTCTTGTCAGCCCATCAATGAGTGGCCGCTACTCAATACCTTATGTGCTTAATCATTCTTCTAAACTGAGGGGATATATCCCAATAGCGCCTTCTAATTATGGCGGAACAAAAGAAAAATTTCAGAAAATTATTTTACCAGCATTGATTGTTTATGGCTCGAGGGATACTTGGGGCAAAAGAACTAGTGAAGTTATAGCGAATATACCTGGTAGCAAAATAAAAGTCATCCCTAATGGTAGTCATCCCGCATATCTTGACAATCCTAATTTATTTCATAGATTTGTCAAAACGTTTCTTGATCAGATTTATGCAACAGAAATGGCATCAATGCAATCGAATAGAAATTCCAGTGCTCTTAATAGCACAACTTCTTCTGCCATTTTATCTACTGGTACTTCTGTTCCAAATACTACAGTGGCATCTCTACCCGATGACTCAATGTGAAATTTGTGTTTCAGTTTTTGACTTTTTTGTTTGTGACGAATAAAATATATGGAAATCATCAGAGTATGGTAATGTCTATTTTCGCTATATCGGGCCTGGTTTTTCTTCACGAAGTGATATATGTGTTTTCTTTTGAACTTGTCTTTGATGATTAAACACACACATATTTAGTGAAGATAAAAACATAGATCATATTTCCTGCAATCCAGTGAGCTTCTATGGCCGGGGATACCAATGCATTATTGCGAACCATGGGTAACTTGAACCCACACAAAACTTGAAGACAACATCCATTCAATGCTCACTAGTCTCCACAATATCAATATGACAAAAAAATTATGTACAATGCATCACCGCATCTCTATTCTATCTTGTCATTTAACTATCTCACTGATACCTTCAATAAATTATCTAAAGAAAAAATCTGTACTATATTTGCATCTTTACAATATCGAGATAAACATATTTCAAATAATTACTTTCAAAATCCTATAAAACTCAAATATATTTGTTTTGAATTATACCCCTAATTAATTACCTTATACTCAGTTTTCATATTAGAAAGTGTTTCTGTGAGTCAAGTCATTGTAGTGATTAATACAAATTGATTAAGATGTTTTGCATGAGTTTTAACCCAAGATAATGATGTATGGTGCCCAAGATGCTAAACACAAACCATCACACCTAACATACGCATCAGTTTTCACATAAGTATGTTTGAAACTTCGCTTTTCCTTTCAGGGCAAGATGGTCGCAGACAGTATGCTGTCCAGTTTGTTTATAGATTTAAATGATGTTGAAAAAACAAATAGAGGAGTGCAATCATTCATTCATTTGATGACAACTTATCCAGCCATAACTAAACTGGTTTCTTGTTTTATGAGCAAGATCAAAAAAGTTCCAACTTATCTATCTCAATGTTCATCCTTTCAGAAAAGAATTCTCTTGTTTATCGTTGTTGAATGGTAAGTACTTTACTAATTTAATAAATAACAATTAGATTCTTAGGCATTGATAAAAGACTCAGAGCTTGTATTTAAATTTGGAAATGACGAAATCCTTAATACCTATGCTAGTTATTAAGATTAAGAAGATCCCATCTTTGACCAACAGGGGCTTGATTGCATTGTCTCTACATTGTGATATTTTTCATGAGATTGTATCTTCGTGACACAATGATGCTGTTCCTTAATTGTTGTTTTTCTGATACTTATTAATTAAAAAACAAAATTTTTTTTCAAACGGTTTAGTGCATAACAATTAGCTAAATTAAATTGTTTCTATTTTTTTTCGATACATTCCATTTTATGCTGATTTAAGATCTCTTTTTCCTCCACCACTGTGCGTAAAACTCTGTTCTTTGTTCAGTAGTTAATAAATGCTTAACTAGTATTATGTTAACTCTCACTCCTAACAAAATTTCTCCAGTTGAGGAACACTGAGCCAACAATACAGCTTGTCATCTACCAAATCCGTCCAATTAATATCAGGTTATTTATTTTTGATCTTGAATTGTTTTATATGATTCCAGCTTGATGTTAGGTGAACATATTGACCTGAGGTTTACTTCTGAGAATTTGGCCCCATTAGAAACTGCTCTCATCCGCTTGAGTGATATTGCACTGGCATTTCAAAATGTTATCAAACATCCGGTAAGTCATTAAAGTGTGAAGAATTTATTAGAAATAAATTTTGACTGTTGATATTTGATACAATGTTCTGTTATAATCCACAAAATCCAAATTGGTGTTTTTTTCTAAAATTTATCACCTCTAATTGAATTATAGAAGACAAAATTATTTGGACATTATTGTACTTTCATGCTATAGAGATGTAATGACTATGTTTTCAAAATTATTTTGATAATATAAAACTGATAATGTTAATGTTAGTGTATATTCCCGCCATATGGATAGACCCGGTATTGCTTATGCTGCGTGACAATCTACTTTTGACACTGATGCTATATTTAAAAAAAAGATTTTGAGTCAAGAGATAGATCTATTTACAATCTTGTGTTTAGTTTAGATCAAAAGCCTTTAGGAATCTTTAGAAAATCAATAGGCATCAATTTAGAGGTACCGGTAACTGTGCCATTCATTCCTTAGGTTTTTAAATTCTCCAATGTTTATAACGTGAGAATGAGTTTTATTATTTTTTGCAGAATTTCTGTGACATTTGGCATCATACTGTAAAGCAGGCAGTTATTGCATTTCTAAGGAAGAAACAATCAGTTGAAGCATCAAAAATCCTAGTTCTTTATCGCGATCGGATTAATGAGGTAAAGCGGAAATGTACATTTCAGAGAATTTACCCAATTTAAATGCATTTCTAAAGTAATGTCTTTTTGAAATAAATGTAGCCTACATATCGAAAACATTGAGTTCATTGGAGATATGCCGCATGTGTGTCCACCAACACATAGGCAGAGAAAAAGGACCAATACTTGTAAATATGCTCCTCTTATTAACTGCATATGCTTGAAATCACGACAAATGCCAAATTTTACTGTTCTTTTATTCAAAGTAAAATCAATTTATGGATTTCTAACCAAAATTAGTTGCAAATCATTAATATCCGTGACATCTTCTTTCAGGAACAAAAAAAGATGTTGGAAAAACTGATCGAAAGGACTTTGAATAAGAAGCTTGATATCGAAAAGCTGGCTAGGACTGATGGACATGATTATACTTCATATTATTTTGTAATGGCGACTTTTATAAAAGGTATGTTGATTATATACTAAGGAATATTGACATGGAAATTTGGATGTGGCTTTTAGACATAACTTACTTTTTGAATTGTATATGTAAATAAATGTGTGTTTAATAAAAGTTTCTGTTTTTGCAAAAATTCACTTAAATTTTAGGTTTGAACAATCAATTACCTAAGACAACATTACACAGATTTGCTGCGAAAATCAGTACTTCAGTGAAAGAACAAAATGATGAGGAGGATCAATATGAAGACATGGTAGATTCAGGAAGTGACATGGACCATGGTAGTATTATTATTGGAATTCGTTATGTTCAGGGGTGGAGACTCAAAAACTGTGATAATTATATTGATTTCAAACTTTGAAATTAAACACTTGACTTTTAGATAAATAAATTAATATTAGAACTTGAAATTTATAAAAAAAAATATACGCTAAAAAGAATAAATTTTACTATTTTATACTTTTAAGTTTTGATGTTAAAAAATAATGGATGGTTAAGAGCTAAGAAAATTCCTGGTAGCCCTTGGCTCTATCTAATGTGGTAAGCTCAGCTCCAGTGACAGGGTTGATTAGCTATTTATTCATGCAACGCTTTGCTAGCGTTATGGTTATTTGGCTTTAATGCTGTGCGATATGGAAACCACTGATCTAAATTTGTTTTTTATATAGATGGAATAAACATGGATGAACCTCCAGAAGAAATGGAAAAGAATAATGAAGTTGATACAACTATGGAGGCTGAAGAAGATGACACACTTATTGATGGTAATTTACATTCATTCAAACTGGATAATGATGTATATTGTATACCAATACAATTGGCTTTTCCCCTCTGCTCTGGGTTACCTACAACATTAGATAATATCTGTGAATTTTTACTCCAACTCCAATAAATCTAGTTGTCAAATTGTAGATAGAAACTTGGAGCTATATTGTCATCTGATAGTACCATAATGAGTAATCTTAACAATATGCATTCTGCATATGCATTCTGCTGATCGAAAGTGTGTATTTCTTGTAAATTTTTAGTTTATTAAACTCTCATTCATTTTGTTGAAGCTGTGTTAAATTTTTGGAAATTTTAAAAATTTTAGGCTAGTAAGCTATTCAATAAGGACAACCTTCCATCATGTATTGTCAATACAAAGTCATTGTTTCTTTTTTCTAGTTTCGTCATCAGATTCAGGAAATGTTCAAGAGAAAATTGCAAAAACGAAACCGTTGATTGAAATTCCAGACAGTGAAGAAGATCAGGAAAGTGATGAAGACACAACCAATGATAACAATAATATGGAAAAATTAGATCCAAAGATAGGTCTCACATACAGACTAAAGAAGCAAATTCATAATTCAGGTATTACGGTATTTCATTATGGAAAAGTTTTTTTGGTGTCGTTATATCTGATATGATTGCCAGTGCCAGTGTCTTGGAATTCCGCTATTGTGAAACAGGACAGCGAAAACGTTAATGGATTCTGATCTTCAGTTTGTGTGGTTTATTTAAATTTACCAATATCTTACTCTAGTCTGGTCTATGAACAGATTTTAAAGGACATCGTAATTGATTGTTAATTCCTCTAATAATATATATCAAAGTTAAAACAGTTGTCTGTCTAGCTTGCATTTATTACTTGATTGATTATTTTGCTGATTATGAAGTGTGAGTGAACTTTGCATTTATAACTAAAACATTTACTAATGTTAAATCCGACTTCTCAGGTATAATAATTCCTTGCAAACATATCGTGAAACACTGCCGAGAAATTCATAATGAAATTGAAGAAATTGAGACTGGAAGTTCAAAGCAACCATATGTAAAAAGTAAAAAGAAAGCATATGCACCTTTAACTGCAGGTAAGCATTATTATAAATCTTTTTAATATCGATGGAAAAAGGTTTTTAGTAGTATCAGAAATCAGTTCTGTTGAAGATAATAACTACATCCTCCTACATATTTAACTCAATTGCCAGTTCCGTGACCTGTACAATTACGGTTGTTTGTGTATATGCTTTGGTAAAAACCATATTTCAGAAAATCAAACAAAACTTGAATGAAAAAATGTTTTGAAAGTTGAAAACAATGGGGATATAACACATAAATGGTATTATGGCACAAGACCTAACTTGAAGACTGAAGAGTATACAATAGTCTAACTACAGAATTTCATGTCATACATTATTTTGATTATTGATTGCATTCATTAATTTTGAAATATTAAATATAGTGATACATCGGTAGTCGAACATAATTTGTTCAGTATTGGTGTTCGACTATCAATTTGTTCGAATATTATATTTGAGCACGGCTTTCTTGTTGAGTGATCTAGAGGCAACAGAGATGTGCGACTCGGGATGGCTTCATCTGTCTGGACGACTCGCTCAGATGTTTGAGCACACCTGAGTACCATATCATTTTAACTGAAATGTATTTTTTGGTTGACTACCAATGTATAACTGTACCAAAAAATCAATATGTTTGTGTACAAAGCAAGTACCAATTTTGAATTATTTTTGAGCAAGTGAGTCACTTATCGATTAGTCTGTGTTTTACAATATATTTCAAATTATTGATGTCATTCTTTGATGTTTCAAATGTCTTGGAATCATTACTTTTTTTATTTTTTATTTTAGAGGCTTTGTCAAAGGCTCCTTACAAGCCAGATATTTCTCCACGAAATCTATTATTAGGAGAAAGGTAAGAAGATGATAAAATACAATATCTTTTATTTTGAACAAAAGTCATGGCGCAAAAAAAAAATAAAAAAATTTACAAAGAAAAATACACGCCAATTTCAATGTCAGGATATTTCCAGTATAATTGTTCCTTGAATTTTTTGGTACTCCTGAAGTTTGTGACCCAAGATAGCGGACACCAGAACGTAGTGTGTGTACCAGGTTAGAGTTAGACAAAATTCCAGGTGCAAATGCTACGGGAGTCACTTGGATAGTCCCCGAACTCGTGATAGAACTAAAATAAGGAAAATTGAAATAAAATTATGGCCTAACCTGCTACACATATTACGTTCCGGTGTCCGCCATCTTGGTTCCCATACTTCGGGAGTACCAAATTTTTTTTAATTTAAATTTTAAGCTGGTTCCATTGACAGCGTAAAAATTTGATGTTCACCTTTTTTAACTTGATTGAGGGTATGATTATTTACTTGGTTTGACTGTCCATCCATTTCACATCAACTAGGATTCATCATGAACCTATGATTGATTATTGACAGGCATAGCTCAAACGGAATAAGTAACCTCACCCAGTGGCGCAACCAGCGGGGGTCGTGTCCCCCCGTTTGAAATTCGTTTTTTTTTTTTTTTGTTGTTCTACGTTCAAACAACTTCGTTCTACGGTCATAACAATCCGGTGAAAACTACTTTTTTCCGGTGCTTTATCACCTCGACGTAATTTAACACCGCCCGACTTCAATCATACCTTTTTGCTGTTAGTTACGTAATAATCGCTATCCTCGCGTATATGTTTGTATTCGAAAATGAGATATGTTACCTCAAAAAAGTAGAAATCGCGCTCTGTCGATGCGAATTGAAAGCGACAATAGCATAATGCTATCTCTCTCTCTCTTGTGACGAATACTCTCGTGCTTCATCATCTCGACGCAATGTAACATCGCCCGGCTTCATGTTATAATAATGCAGTAGAAACTCATTATTTTCGGAAAAATATTGCTTCGATTAATCTAAGATTTTCTACATATGAAAGGCCGAAAACCGAAAACGCCGTACACATCCTACCGCCCCCGTCCACGTTCTGATTTAAAAACATTTCACAATTATTTCATTTTTTATCGCAATCGAATGCAGCCATGTGTGGCACGGCAATAACTAACAGTCGTCGTGAAAGGTTTTCAATAAACTCCGACTTGAAGTGCTTATAAGACGTCGAGGACGTTTTTGGTTGAAAATTTTTTACATTTGTTATCGTATATTTCAATTTAGTCAAAATATGTTGTGCGCATCGGCAATAAACTTAAAAGCAAATCCTGCCCTAATTAATTGTTTTCATCCTCAGTTTCGATAGTTATCGAACTTAACGGGAAATTTTTTAATTTCTTGCAATCTATAAAATAGCTTCTAAATATTATAATATTTGGTTTCTATCGGAGATTTCATCGTTATCCCGACGTCGTTGATAACAATATCGTTCATTTTAGGTTGGAGGTATTGGTTTATAATCAAAAATTATAACACATAACATAAAAAATTTAAATCAACGCCGACTCAAAAAGTCAAACACGTTTTTCCATCTCTATTCTCCATTATTGGGGACGGAAATTTGGGAATCGGGTTTAACTAATTTGATTATGATGACAATGGTAAACAAAAGTACACAAACATACCATACCGTTCTTAGTTTTTAGTCGTTATTTCTCTGTCTTTTCTTCTTTCTATGTGCATATTAAGACCATAAAACGTGTTTTATTTTTGAACTCTGCGCTGATTTCAATATTTCATGGCTGTTATGTATTTTTGTTTGTAAATGAATACCGCTAACTTAAACTGAACGATGTTGTCATCAACGCCGGATGCCGACGAAATCCGCGATAGATATTAAATACTATTTAAGAGCTATTTTATACGCGCTAAATTACAAGGAATGAAAAAATTTCCTGTTATGTTCGGTCACTATCGAAACTGAGGATGAAAACAACTAATTAAGACACAATTTGCAGAGGACGCCTAACCATCTCGACTAAGTTAAAATACACGATAAGAAAATATTTTCAATCAAAAACGTCCTCGAAGTCTTATAAGTTCTTAAAGTCGGCGTTTATCGAAATTCTTTCATGTCAGCTGTAATATATTGCCGAACCACACATGGACGACGACGCTAGGATATGTGCGCCATATTCGGGATTATTATAAACACGATAAAACAGTATTTGAAGTTTGCGATATTTGAATTTAAATTCGATTTGGACATCCCTGCATTAAATTAGTCAGTTTTCAGTTGTGTTTCCAAAAATAAGTTGTAAATCAATTATTTTAATTGTCATTATGTCTTCTGGTGAGCTTCAGTTTAGTTTAGAATTTTTCTGGGGTTAGGGTCGGGAAAAGGTCCATTCGCAAGAAGTGCATTTTGTTTTTAGTCTTGACGAATTCACCCAACGAGCAAGGCGCGGCACGAGGGAACACTGGAATTTATTCAAGCCGTGTTTCACTATCCACGAGGCGGCAAAGCGAGGGGGAAAAACGTTGAAAAATAATTAACACAAGCTTTTCGTAAGCAATTCGCTGGAATGTAATGAACGGCGTTTTGCTACCCACGAGGTCAAGACATAGCGAAGCGCCGTTAATGAACGAGTGCCAAGGTAGCGAAAGGCTGGGATTTAATCGATGGGCGTTTCCCTTTTAACCACGAGCAATTTATCGTGTTTCAGCAGGGCGACACCTAGTGGCGTTGTGACTTACGTCGTGGTTGCACTGTGTAAATTCCGGTCGGACCCCCCCCCCCCCCGTTGAAAACGGCCTGGTTGCGCCACTGACCTCACCTAAGAATGGAAACACTAATGAAAAAGAGTTACTGACGCTTAAAATATGAATAAATTAATAGTTGTGATGTTTGATGCAAGCATTGAATGAAATTTTCAAGCTTGTATCATCAAGCAAACAAAATTGCAAAATTCCAAATTGTGAATAATTATATAAACGCATTTATTCATCAGTTTGAATTTCAAATTTGGTGTAGAGGCTGTAGACTAAAGCCTGGTCATTCCAAGGCAAAACAATGTAATTTCGCAATTTTAAAAGCAACGTATTTGCTGTTTCCATATTTAGATTTGAAGATTTGAATTCAACATTTCACTCATCAGTTAGTAGTCGAACATACAGTAGCAGAAGACGAATACCTTTCACATGCGACCTGGATTCCTATATTGTTGTTGGTTGCAGGCATTTTGGGATTGGACAATGGACAAAACATTAAATGCTTTTCCATTTCCCACAGGCTGCACAAATGTTAAGATCAAGGATAGGTGAGATAGGCAGCTGAAAGTTGGGTCCATTTCTCAAACCACTATGCTATCAAGCCCACATTGGGATTTAGCATTGAAATATATATAAAATGTTTCATTTTTATTCGTTGCGTCACTACAGTTTGATATAACATTTAGTTTGCTTTTCCTTAAAACAAATAAATTTGTCAATTCCAAAAAGAAAATTTTATTCTCAGGTTTCGGAACTTGATCAAACTCAAACACATTGCTATATTGGATGATGGTGATTTCAATGTGCTGAATCTAGTTTTAAAATCAAAGCTAGCGGCAGCTGAAGCTAAAATGAATAAGGATAAGAATGAAAATGCTGCTAACAAAAGATATAATAACTATGACAGAGGTATGTACACTTTTTTCCTAACACAGACTGGTGATACTATAGCTGAATGAGTTGAGTCAAGAATAAAGTTGGAATTATGGTCTGTGTGCCTATAATATAAATCAACTATTTGTTTTTGATGTTATTAAGCAATTGCCTATCATTGCTCCTAATGAAACGTGCAAGGTTACGCACATTTGGATATTCATTAGTCGTGGGGCAATATCTCAATCAGGGCAGAAAATAAAATTTACTTCGTTGCATGACTTTGTTTTTATCAGATTAGAATAATTTTTTCATCTTCAATGTCTTCTACACATGGTGTTTCAAGCACCAAAACACCTTACCACAGTACTTTCACTTATTTTCATGCACTGTCATTTCTAACTGCGAGAAACCAAACAATGTTCTCGGATATGATTAAGCCAATGCTACCTCAAACATGTGCAAATATTCTCTGGGAAAAATGTAATTTCTTTTTGTCATTCATGGTGTTAGACTTTTTGTGGATGTGAAAGGCCGCAAAAAACATTCTTTATGCTTGGAATGTCTGGTTGACTATTTATGCCTAACTTCTTTCTATCAAGATTATTACAAATAGGTTTCTAATTATAAAAAATCGGACAATGACCCAATGGAAGCTTACAATTATACTTACTATTTCATGAAAAGAGATTATTTTATTCCTATTTTTCATCTTATTCAAGCATCCTTGAGGCAACGGCCAAGTACGGATCCAAAGTAAGATGTCAATGTGAAAAGACCTGCAGTTCAATATACATAGCCCTGATACCACTTTTACTATTGTTTATATACAGGTTCATCTACCAGAGGTTCCCCAGCTTCAAGGAGAAGTGAACCTGTCAAGAAACAAGTGAAACCTGTGATAAAAAGAAAATTATTGCCACACAATGAAATCGATGAAGACATCGATGATAATACAAAGAAGTCATCATCTCGACAACAAGAGTGAGAGATAGTTATAAGTTCAATTTTTTATGCCTTAGTATTATTATAATGCGGATTGCTCGTTGTTGTTACCATTTTATGTGATTATATCATGTCTAATGTAGATTTAGTATGCCCCCAACAAAAACCCTATCTTTTTCTGTAAAATATGAGTGCAAGGAGATCAAAATTCAGCGATGTAATACATAGATTCAGAGAATTCAGTGGTAATTGCAAAGCAGAATTGTATAATGCAGTACTGCTTCCCTCAAATCACAAAAACCCAATTTGAGCAGAATTACGAAGATAGTGTATCATGCTTAACCGTTTTCTAGTAAATTTCATTATCTTTGCACTCTTATCAGTTTCAAATTTCGCTATACAGTTCCAAAATTCAAATCATCCAAACTCATTATATATCAATATGTTGCTACTGTTTATTGAAAACAACAAAATAAATATTTTTATTGCCACTAAGGCACTAGGATTCAAACACTGATAAAAACACAGGCTAGATTTAAATTAAAGGTAGGCAACATTAATTTAGGGGTCACACCCAAGAATTTTCGAAGGGGGTCTGAAAATTCGAATTGTCAAGTAAGACCGTAACGGCTAGCGGGTCTGCATGAGGCCGGAAAACTTGGGTTTTTTCTTGAGGGTCTAAGAAGCGCTTCAAGTATGATACAGGGAAATGCCTTTTTTACATATCAAAAAGGGGGGAAAGGTTCTGACCACACTTACTTGTGCGCCCATCCCTTATTCACCTGATATATCAGTGAACTTAGTATGAGTCAGTTCACTTTGAATCAGTCAAATAAAGTATGTTATCCAATTTACTAATTCTACAAATGTTTTTTTTTTTAAATAACAAATTGTCACTCTTATCATTCATGTCATATCTCTAGGTTTGACATGATGTCAATAAATTCATCGGAGAGAAATCATGTCGAGAAATCGTCTGGTTCAAGATTTTCAAGACAGTCAAAAGTTGTTGCATTCACACCTAAACAAGATGCTTATCTGTTATGTGGTGCGAGACATCTAGGCATGAGATGCGGAAATGTTAAAGGGATATTCAATTTCAATTCAAATATTACTACAACTGATATGCGAACAGGTTAATAGTTACTTGTGAAGAGGTAATTAGGGCTGGGCATTTCTGAATAACTGGTGCTTTCAGAAAGGAATTGATTATTTTTTTGAATACTTATTGTAATGGGTCCTCCAAACTCGTAAAATTACTGAAAGTGTAGAATTCATCACTCATACAGTTGGCTGAGTGTCCACACACGATAACAAACATGTTTCATCATTAAATCACTCTAAAGAAAAGAATTCACATGTCAATTTGCAATTGATCTTTGGCAAAGGAAAAAAATGGTGACTATTCAAAAATTTCTTTGAGTCATTTGAGTGACAAGACTTGACGACTCAACTGATTCCATGAACCATTCAGTGACCTCAACCCGACACTGTCATTTTAATAACCAACTTGAGCTTGTTTGCCATGGTTTGCCGTAAAGATGGCCTTATCATCTTTCCTCTTTTGGGGTTAATCCAAACTTTTTAGATGGGATGAAATGATAGAAAACGGTCAAATTTATGTGAATGAAGATGATCGTGAAATTTTTTGTCATGATGAAAAGTTGCAACGAAGATGTGAAGCTGTTACTGATGAACTTCAGAACAGAATCCAGAGTCAAAGCAAAAAGTGAGGCATTAATCATAAAATGAATATATTTTGCAATAGTTAAATAAAATTACAGTTAAACATAGGTAGTCAAACATAATTCGTTCAGAATTGGTGTTCGACTAATGATTTGTTCCAGCACCAAATCTTTTTTTGTCATGAACAATGGTCATTATTTTGATAAAATTCTTTATTTGTGCCTATTAAAGTTGCAAAAGCTTATAATAAATAAAACATACACCATGACATACTGTAAGACGAGGTCAGACATTCGAAAACTTTCTGGTATCTTGTGATTAATATCTTTTTTCAACTCTATAGTTTTTCTCACTGTTTTCCCTTTTATCACCTACTTTTACACTCACTCTTTTGGAGCCTTGATCAACGGCAAAAAAGCACTAAATCACAAACTTTTTTCATCACTTGTTAACCCGCTAACGTTCTGACTTGAACTGATGCTTGTTGAATAGACGAGAGGCAGTCGAGATGCGCGATTTGGGTGGAGTCATCTTACTAGGCCGCACTTGGCTCGAGTGTTCGAGCTCCGAATTTTCGTTAAGAGAATCACAGAATTTTGACTTGGTCGACCACCGAATTTTTCGAGTATCGAGTTGTTTGACTACCGAGATATTACTGTGATTATAGTAATTAAGTATTATTTTTTTTTTATTTATACTTCAGGTTGACGTTAATGGTGATCCGAATCCATAATTGCTTCTTATCACTATCCTGAATTTTCATTAAATTCCTAATTTCCTGAGTTTAACAGTCTTCGACTGGATTTTGTGATTTTTTGGGTTTGATAATAACAGGAATATTTTTTTTTCAGAGATTCTGGCAGAGAGAGTGTTGACAGTCCAGAGGTATATAATAAAATTGTTAGTTGTGTCTATTAGAGTTGCAAAAGTTCATAAAAATACGAGTAAAGTATTCATTTAAAATGGAAACTGTTGTTAATAAAATTGTCAAGTTTGTGTGATGGCATCAGATCTGTATATCTGAAATGATTGCCTGATCTAGTTGTTCTACTTGACTTTGTAACCAGACTGCAAATTATTCAATCATGTTGACCCTTTTTCCCATCGAGATGATGTAAATAATGTTATTTATGCTGCCCTCTTCATTATAATAGAGTGATATAAGCTCAGTGACTGTTCCAAACAAACCATCAGTATCTCGAAGACGACAAATTGAATCGAGTCATTCAAGTATTGAAGAAATTGCATCAGAGAAAGAATTTCAGGAGGAATTGCTGCTGGAACAATCAAGTACGAATTTTTTAGTTTTTTTTAAAAAAAGTCTTTACAAAATACTCTACAAATCAAACCCTTTGTCTCTGGAGAGGGCCACTCAAATCATAATTGGGTCCATATATCCATTATTCCTAGCTTTTGGTTCAATTCAGATAATTCAAAGTTTGAAACCTATTACATTTAATGATTAAGATGAGATGTACATGATTTCATCATGTGAAAATCATTCAATTAATCCGGTGCTTGTATTTCAGCTCCTATCAAGAGAAAATCGAAATCAAAAAAATCTAATGCAAAATTGAATAAATCTATTGATGCAGGAACTCAAACGGTACATTTGTTATCTTGTTTTGATAGGGCAGGAAATTGCCCTCAGACACAAATTTCATGCTACACCTGGTACAGATCAATTATATGCCCTTGAGTGCAATATTACTGTCACATCTCTGCTGAAGAACTGTTATCTACTGATAACCCTGATGTAAAGATATATAGAACATGATTTACATATTTATCTCAGGAGCCGATCAGACGCCTTAATCATATGGTAAATCCCGGCCTCTCGTCTGGTTACTAATTCATATTGGGTATGGGGTCAGATAGCCTGTTATCAGTTTTCAGAAGTTTGAATCGTATATATGAGATCGTCTGCGACAGTAGGCAGTAGTAAACATTTAACCATGTTTTAAGCATATTGCATAAAATTTGACATTTTTCTCACGTGCTGGAGTTTTAGACCAATCAGCATTTTATTCTCTTTGTTTCTTTTCTGATAGAGGCGACCAAAATTCATTTTGCGGAAGCAGTCCCCAAGTTTGCTTGAAGCAAGTAGTAGCAGTAATTCAACGTCACGTTCACCATCACCTCAACTTGAAAGAAGAAGACATGTGAAACAATGTAATGCAAGCAATTTTCTAAATTTTTCTGCATTCAAAAAGTTGAAAATTTATTTCCAAAGTTAAAACTAGAATATCGGTTAGAAACCGAAGACTTATCAATCGAAGGTTAGGGGATCCCCAAAACAGTGATCTTACTCCATAGTGACACCGTGTGTCCCATCACTAATCAATTAATAACTCGCTAATTGTAAGACATAATCCATCCAAAATCAATAGGCTTCTGATCCGAGCTATGATGAATGCACATGCAAGGAGCAATTTGGAGCAATTTCAACCTCACTTTCGTGAGATATCGCGTGCATCTAACACACAGACATACAAATACCTATCAACATACTCACTGATCTTAAGATCGATAAGTAATAATCACTAAGAACTTAACAGCATTTATAATTGTAGTTTTTAAAATATTAGTGTCTCCAGTTTAATCTGAAACCCTTATTTGTGTATCACTGCCACGAAACTACCTTTGGGCTGGAGTTTCATGGTAGTTGGTCATACTAAAAAACAACAATTGCTTGAGCCTATCTTATAAGGTGAATTATGAATCTGTGGGTATGGAGAAATTGTGATTTAGAATCAGCTCCTAGATCTGGGTTAAAATATAGAGATGGCTTAAAATGTTTGTCTGAAGTTACAAGTCCATTTCATTTGAATGTATAACTACTTATTTTGCTTCTTCTATTTTTCCTATATGTTTCAATTCCAGTGGGATCTCCTATTCGTCCAAGCGTCTTAAATAATTTCAAACAGCCCTTTAAAAAATTTGATGAATCTCCAAGAAAAAGGATAAAGAAGAGTCATCGCCGAGATTCTTACACAAAAGAAATCAGAGAGAAACGACAACGTGAAATATCAAGGATGCAACGACAGTCAGCTACTTCAAGGAGAAATCTGTGGACAGATGCTGAAGTCAAAGAATTTCTTTCGGGACTTGAGAAACATGGACCAGGAAATTGGTCGACAATACTAGATGACGGATACGAGGTCTTTAATAGCAGAACTTCAGTCATGCTGAAAGACAAGTTTCGTACAATGATGAAAAATAATACTATACCGGAACATTTAGTTTTATTATGGAATGCTAAAAAAGCAGCAAAAGAGTAGTTTAAGCACATTTATATGCAAATATATAATAAAAATGTGATTGCAGACGCCTTACATTGCCAATCATTCTATTTGTGGCGTGAAAATAGAAATATCGAAAGCCACTGTCATGCTTCCAATTCCCAAAATTTTGTCAATAATTCAAGCTTTTGGCTATAATCCACTGTTTATGCTTGAATTAATTAATTTTTTGACAGTTTTAATTCTTTGCTAAACATTGGGAACGTTGAGTTTTTTTGGCCGACATTAAATGGGATTATTTTTATGCAAATGGTTGATTGAAAGAAAATTGCTTGTAGGTGAATATACTTGCATGGTATGTTCCGAGTTGAATCTTGACAAAGCTTGGTAAAAATGGTCAGATTAAGTTTTTAAAACCACATAATCCTGACAAAATTAATGACAAGAGCACAATATTCCCGAATGACTTCGACCAATATTAAGTACGTAGAATTCATTTACACCTCCTTCATGGTTGCTAAGTGAATCGGGTTTGGTAGTGGTTCAGGGGAAAATTGAGAATGGGAATCCTGAAAATTTTCAACACTGAACTACAGGGATTTGTTGGTTCAGGGAGGCTTTGTAAATTTCTTTTGTTGGATCAGGGTGATTTTGTAAAAAAAAATTCTATCATTTGTATCGTGTGAAAATGGATAAGTTTTGATTACGGGAAGAAAAGTTTATATATTTCAGGTTATTTTTTTATGTTCTTTTTATATTATTACAATGTTGGTTGCATTTTTGTCTCCCATTTTTTCTTATATCTTTAATAATAAAATAATACTGCTTAAAAATGATTCGATCCTTAATTTAGCTGATTTTACATTGTATGTACCTTGATATTAAACGGCTCAGCTGGTACAGGACAAACGTTTTTTAAGAAATGGGTCAAAAATTATATTTTTATTGAAGAAATGAAGACCGTGGGTCATAGGTAGGGCTGGGCATCTCGAGTCGAATCGGTTCAGAGTAAAATTTCGAATCGCCGCCATCTTGTTTTTCCATTTCCACCAATGGTCGAGGTGAATTCCTCAATTTTTTTTTATTGAAGCCCTATTTTTTCAACGCAATTCAGACATATAGCTATTCAAAAAATATTCGATAGCCCTAGTCATAGGTAGTTAGTCAGTTTGCATCAATGAGACCCGTGCAGTTGCATCTTTCCAAGTCTTTTTTCCTTGATTAGTATTGTGTAATAGTTTGTCTTTTCAAACGGCACAAAGTAGCATCCATTTCTCACCTGTGCAGATAAAATGCTGAGACCCATTTCTGTTTATGCACCTGTGAAAGAAAGTCAGCTAACCAAGCGTATAGTTAAATGTTGGAACAGCAATGTCACAGGGATCGGCATATATGATGATAGTTCTCATATTAGAGTAAAACCTGGTTCGTTATCAATTTTCATCACTGAAATGCTGGCGCTCCAGAAGTGTGTGTGCCAATTTTGAGGTAACTAATTTTGTTTTGCCTACTTTACATCAAGTTGTGTAAAGAGACTGAAGCCAGTGGGCAGGGAGTATATTCACTCGGTTAACACATACAATTACCGAACTTGTAATAGAACTAAAATCCAAATGAAATTATGGCCTTACTTAACCTGGTACACACACTATGGGAGTACTAAAATATTTGTATGCTCATCATGACTTAGTGGGTCAACGAAACATGGTGGTGACCCATGGGTCAATGGTTCGCCATCTCTGATCTAGTACCACTCAAGTGTTGACTTGTTGATTCACACCACTGTGACTAGTCAGCAGAGTTTAACGTGCAAAGACCGTAACACAAAGATCCCTGGTTCAATTTAATTCTTAACATAATCGTTACGCACTTGTATAGAACCTTGTTCTCTGTGAAGACACGATACTAGCATCTTAGTGTGAAAAATAATCCAGTATAACGGAAAAATCAAAACTTCAAATAATATCGCAATTTTTTGTATTAAAGATTAAATTTATCAGCAATGAGAAATATTGGATAACAATCACTAAGAGTTCTTTTGGTCATATCAGTAAGTAAACTAAACTGTATCGTGACCAAATTCACTACTGAGATAACAACTAGTAAGCTCTTGCATATACGTGTTTCCGACTGTTGAGCTGAGAATCTCACTCCACTTTAGTTGAGGATCTTTCATCCTTGCCAAGCATTCTTCCACAAGTTGTTAAAAAGGTCTAAATCTCCTTGAATCTCTCATTTGCTGAACACGCTCTTTATCTTCCTCAAATTTTTTCCGCAGTTCAGCTATTTTTTCACGTTTTGATTCTCTAATTTGATAAGAGTATGAATTCAGCAAGTCCTTTCTTTTTCTTCTCATCTTTTCTTTGGCTTTCGCTTTAAGTTGATTCGCTTCCGTTCTCGCGATGACAGGATTTTTACCTTTTCTTGTCACTTTAACCCAACCATCTTCATCAGCTTCCTCCGCAGCATTTTCTTCCTTTTCTGTAGCTTTCTGCAAAGCCGTATCATAATTTTCCATGTACTTATCAATGTTATTCTGAAGCAAACTTTTGTTCGGAAATCGTTTGATATATTGCCTAACCCACTTTTTCATACCAACTGCTACAGGTTTTTCCTTGTTGGACAAAACAAAAACAGTTTGTTTGTTAATGGGCTTGCCAGCACCTCGTAAAGAATTAGTCAATGATTCTGTATCTTTGAAAACAACAAATGCATAGCAGAATCCATGTGTAGCGTCACATGATTGGAAAAATTTTAAATCATCTATTGTTGGCTTGTCCAATATTGTCTTTGAAACTAATCCGGACACGTCGTTACCAAGTTTTCTTTCTAATGTTACATTTTCAACTTCCCCAAATTTAGAAAAATATCTTCGTAAATTTCCTTCAGTACAATATGGCGGCACATTTGTTACCAACAATGTACGATTCTTAGGTTTGTTTATATCCTCTGTCCGAGTCTTGTTTTCTTTATACAATAGATCATGCACACAGGTAGTAGTATCATCAAATTTTATCCTGATGCAACAAAAACTTGGTGGAATATCCATAATACTGTAACAACATGGAGGAAAAATAGTTTAATAGTTGTTGATAATTTGTCAATGGGAGAATAAAAAACAAAAGTAATAGAGTAATAAGAAAAACATTAATACCAGAACATTCTGTATATTACCTGAACCACTGGAGCTGGAAAGTATTGGGTTCTAAGAAATCTTTGTAGCTTAATTAAAGTTTGAAAGAGACTTGAAGATTCTAATAGTGAATATGAAACTTAATATTACATGAATAGAATATTACAGATGGCTTGAGGGCTTTGAAACAAAAAAGAGATCACCATTTCTACATTTCCATGCCTATTAATAAGTGTTAATTAACTTGAGTTTTTATAATCTGCAGTAATGCCGAGCTTGGATATTATTACATATCGTATTTATGAGACTTCATCCTTTCTAAAAAAAACATTTATACTACTTGTATTGATGTAAGCAACATAGCCAATTCGATGCAGAATACAATAAACTCAAGTGCTCCTTCAGTGTGTTTTGAACTGAAGGTGTTGGGGAATAGTGCCTTGTTACGGTAATCACTTGATCGAAGCAAGGTAACACTCACTACCTCAGACACAGAGGAGACTGATCTATGTGATATTACAGCTGACCACTTAAGAAGAGCAAGTATGAAGAATCATATAGGAGAATTGTGTGTGAATCATAGGAGGATTGACACAAGACTAAAAGCACTTCTGGTCGATTTGATCAGGAAAACAGCCATGAGGGAGTGAAATCTATAGAAATAGGAGACAGTCAAGGATAATTAAACAGTTTTTGGCCATTAGTTTTGTCAACTCGCGCTTGAGAAAAAGACAATGTGTGCTTGGGGATTTTTTGTTCAGTTTTCTGTTTCATAACTCTAAATGTCAGGTTAATACGAGGAAAAGATGCTCTCTTTCTTACTGGCAAGGAGTGATACCAAAAGTCATTTGTTGGAGGATTCATAACAAATAAGCATCCATTTGTCAATGGAACTGTGACTGATTTAAGGTCTTTTCGACGTTTTTGTCCACCTCTAGCATCTTTGTGGCGAAATACAAAATCTCTTGTCTGGCCTAGAGAAAGTGATGCAATCGGTGCCATTCTGTCCAAGTCTTTTTCATTATCTCTATGCTCACCAATATGATCGTTTCCATCTTTATAGTAATTGATTAAGACAAAATTAAATATCCATTTGTCAGATAGAGCATGCTCCACTCTGTTTTTAACTTTCAACAAATAAGGTGGCCATGGTTTGGCTGGAATCGTGTTGCCAGAAAATGTGTAGGTGAGCCCTTCATCCCCAAATGCCGTTTGTTTTCTCGGAATGTTTATCCACTTTCCATACATCTGTACTTTAGCCAGTATTCCGGTGTTGTACTCAACTGTGTCTTCAATTTCTCTGAAAATAGCGTCTGCCTCATTTTTGGAATAAAGAACAGTCATAATGCAGTTAAGATGTTCTGAAACCACTTTACGCCAATGCAAATCCTTCTCCGACTTCTCTTCTGTTGACTCCCCCATTTTTTGAAATTGTTTATCTATGCTCGTTCTTGTATGAATATCTTCTTCAATATTTCTTTTCATGTTTTAGCCTACCGGGACCTCTGCTCTCAAAGCAAATTAGGAGTGAAATGAAGGATCCTATCTTAAGATTAATACAACCTAATACCGGTAGACTACTCCCATCATTTCGCAATACAGGCAGACAGGGGACCATTTTTATGACGCTTGCTATTTTAAGAACTATCGGTGTCGGGTGTCTTCATTCACTCAAATAATTAGAAGGGGATATACAGAATACTAATACAGATACGGTACCTTATAAGTAAACATAGCCCAATGCACTACTCATGGGTGTAAATGGGCTTTGCACTACACATGTATGGATATGAAGGACAACACTAAAAGGCTGAAGGAAGAAACGGATGAAGTGGAGGAAAAACGGAAGTTGAAGTGTTCCCAGAGGTGAAAAATTGAAAAACACTAAAAAGCTGAATACTAAAAGGAAGAAGTGGATGAAATTTCTTCCGACGAATAATGAGGTGGTTGAAGTCACTAAAAAGCTGAATACTAAAAGGAAGAAGTGGATGAAATTTCTTCCGACGAATAATGAGGTGGTTGAAGTCACTAAAAAGCTGAACACTAAAAGGAAGAAGTGGATGAAATTTCTTCCGACGAATAATGAGGTGGTTGAAGTCACTAAAAAGCTGAACACTAAAAGGAAGAAGTGGATGAAATTTCTTCCGACGAATAATGAGGTGGTTGAAGTCACTAAAAAGCTGAACACTAAAAGGAAGAAGTGGATGAAATTTCTTCCGACGAATAATGAGGTGGTTGAAGTCACTAAAAAGCTGAACACTAAAAGGAAGAAGTGGATGAAATTTCTTCCGACGAATAATGAGGTGGTTGAAGTCACTAAAAAGCTGAACACTAAAAGGAAGAAGTGATGAAATTTCTTCCGACGAATAATGAGGTGGTTGAAGTCACTAAAAAGCTGAACACTAAAAGGAAGAAGTGGATGAAATTTCTTCCGACGAATAATGAGGTGGTTGAAGTCACTAAAAAGCTGAACACTAAAAGGAAGAAGTGGATGAAATTTCTTCGAGGTGGTTGAAGTCACTAAAAAGCTGAACACTAAAAGGAAGAAGTGGATGAAATTTCTTCCGACGAATAATGAGGTGGTTGAAGTCACTAAAAAGCTGAACACTAAAAGGAAGAAGTTTCTTCCGACGAATAATGAGGTGGTTGAAGTCACTAAAAAGCTGAACACTAAAAGGAAGAAGTGGATGAAATTTTCCGACGAATAATGAGGTGGTTGAAGTCACTAAAAAGCTGAACACTAAAAGGAAGAAGTGGATGAAATTTCTTCCGACGAATAATGAGGTGGTTGAAGTCACTAAAAAGCTGAACACTAAAAGGAAGAAGTTGATGAAATTTCTTCCGACGAATAATGAGGTGGTTGAAGTCACTAAAAAGCTGAACACTAAAAGGAAGAAGTGATGAAATTTCTTCCGACGAATAATGAGGTGGTTGAAGTCACTAAAAAGCTGAACACTAAAAGGAAGAAGTTGATGAAATTTCTTCCGACGAATAATGAGGTGGTTGAAGTCACTAAAAAGCTGAACACTAAAAGGAAGAAGTGATGAAATTTCTTCCGACGAATAATGAGGTGGTTGAAGTCACTAAAAAGCTGAACACTAAAAGAAGAAGGTGAAATTTCTTCCGACGAATAATGAGGTGGTTGAAGTCACTAAAAAGCTGAACACTAAAAGGAAGAAGTGATGAAATTTCTTCCGACGAATAATGAGGTGGTTGAAGTCACTAAAAAGCTGAACAGTAAAAGAAGAAGTTGATGAAATTTCTTCCGGCGAATAATGAGGTGGTTGAAGTCACTAAAAGCTGAACACTAAAAGGAAGAAATGGATGAAATTTCTTCCGACGGATAATGAGGTGGCGGAGGTCACTGAAAAGCTGAACACTAACAGAAAGAAGTGGATGGAATTTCTTCCGACGGGTGGTGAGGTGGCTGAGGTCACTAAAAATCTAAACACTATAAGGAAGAAGTACGTTAGGGTTAGATGATATTTTGTCCTATCAATTTTGAGGCGGTTGAAGTCACTAAAATACCGAACATTGGGAGAGTTAAATAGCCAAAACATATCCCGACGGAAGTGAGATTGGATGAAGACCCTGAAAGCGGACTGATGAGTAGGCATGCCCCTTTTAGATTTATGAATTGAATCGATTCAAATCGCAATTTTTTTCGAATCTGATTTACGCGATTCGAAAGAAAGAGAGCCGTTTAGCGAAGAAAAACAAACACTCCAAATAACACCAATTGCCAGACGAGAATGTAAATGAATTTTTCGTTATTTACTTTTATTGATCTGCCTTCATTCATTTTCATGTTCAGCGCAACACACCCTGATCATCACTCGAGATGCTGACGTGCTGTGTGGGTAATTAATTTCCTTCAATCTGTCAGTTGAGTATTCCACTGAATGACCTAAGTTTCTATCACACGCAAATTTAAATGGATCGTATACCTGAAAGTTCGTTGCAATTTTTTTAAAAATATGCAACAGCACACCTTCTCTGCGACTAAGTTATGGTATGCCTTGACATGAATTGATATGATGATTGTGATTGACGATCAGATGCCGACTTCTAGAAAACATTTAATTTTGATTGAAATTTAATTTAAACTCCGTTGAAATTGAAATATTGGTACTACTGAAGTATGCGCACCAAGATGTCGCACAACCTGATCCCTAACCTCGTACACCAGTGATTTTCAACCTTTTTTGTATCGCGGAACACTTTTTTTATTCTAAAATTGTGACGGAACACCAAATGAGATTTTTGGAAATAAACTATATTATGCAATTAACTGACATCGATCATTTCGGAATAAAATAAATTAACGAGATTAATAATAGCTTGTCAACTTCAGCTGGAAAAGACGTTACACATATTCCGATTCAGAGCTACCGATGAGCTAGGAACAGAAATGGTATTTTAATGTAATATCTGGGCCTGTTTCGATGAGTTTCAATTTTTATTCTGGCTGGAATTTAATTGAGAGAGACAAACACGCAGCTCTTTCTCGACGACTCTCAATTTTTCGTGTTTTTATACTCTTATGGCGGCCAAGAAAAGGGTGGGCAAAATCGAATATTTTTTTCGAATCAAATAATTCGAATATTCTTAACAAATACCGAATAGTCCAATACCGAATATTTTTTATACGCAGCAGGGTCCAGAACGTCGGAGGTAGATTTGGAAATTAATAGAAACATTGAAAATCGGCAACAAAGCGATTTTTACTGGTTAATTTCGTCATATGCGCTGATATTTTGTCCCCTGAACGTTTTTAAATTCCCGCCATTTGTTCTTTTGCGCAACTATTAATTCCCGTGGGTCGGCGGAGATCGAAGTTTCATATTATTGATATAACTATGAGTTCACATCAGCGACAGATTTTAATGACATTAAGGAGTGATTTCAAAGCCAAATTAATTGTATTCTGATATTTATCTTTTGCGCCGACTCTGATCTAACTTATCGCCGTTTGCAAATTGAACGTCCCAGTTTTAAGCAAATAATATTATCATTATCGTCAACGGGATGCACACATTTATTATTAAGACGACAATTGACTTTCTTAGGCTCAGTGTTATTTTCGAAATAAATCAATTTGATACTGTGATTAGATAAATCTGTGAAGCTGTGATTGCGTGAATAAAGAATGTTGATTTAAAATCTGAAATAAAGGCATTTCTACGTTGTCGTTTGGCAGCACTCTTGAACGATATTTTACATACGCGACCTGATACCAAAAAAATTGTAAACAATTTTGTGCCCAAGTGCTTTTCGTACCTAGTAGAAGGGAAGACGCTAATTATAATTAATCACCTCAAGTCACCATTTATTTTACAACAAATCAATACCCCGACCATTATCATAGCTAATATCGTTACCGGGAAATTCATAATTTTATTTACGGAATTTGCAAATTCAACACTCCACTTGACGATTTTGATGATGCCACGCCCTAATTAATACTGCAAGAAAAGCTTCAAAATGCAACGAATGTAATCAATTCCGATGATGACTCCATCCATGGTCGAGTATAATGTTCACATTTTTGAAACATTATTTGGTCAAGGATGAAATGGATCACTAAAAATACACGCCGAGCTATTAGAAAGTCCATTAAAAGAAAGTATGGCCTGTCATTTCTTATCTGGCTATAAGTTTTTATACCGGCTTTTCAAAACTCTGACTCGCCATTTTCAAATCTATGCTATTTATATGGTACTCCCGTGGTATGTGAACCAAGATGGCGGACACACGAACGTAGTATGTGTACCAAGTTAGGGTCAGGCCATAACTTCAGGTACAAATACTATAGGAGTCACCTGGCTAGTGCCCGAACTCGTAATTGAACTAAAATGAGGAAAATTGGAACAAAATTTTGGCCTAACCTGGTACACATACTACGTTCTGGTGTCCAACGTCTTGGTTCGCATATTACAGGAGTACCAATTATATAACTCGAATTTTCTGACGACCTGAAATTGCCGTATTCACCATGTATCGAAAACGTCTTTGTATCTCTTAATTTCCGAAAATGATTTTCTATTCGGGTCATGCATGCGGAGGCTAATAACATCTTTAAAATCTGGTAACTTTATTTTAGATATCTTATTTGGGTTGACGTTTCTACATTTACGGACTAGTGTCGGCACGATTTTTGCAAAATATCAGTGGAAGCCGAGGGTGAATTCTCGCGTAATCCAAGCGATCGATTTACCGGCGTGAATTCCGTGCCCAAGCAAAGCGGTACAGATTACGTGGTATTGTACATACGAATAGTAAAATGGCATTCGAATATTTTAATATTGTATTCGCTATTCGAATATTTTGCCCAGCCCCTAGACCGGCCATGCTTAAAAAGCTCATTTCGCAAAGATAGGTAGTGGAAAATGATAGCAAGATTGGAAGCGCTTGTGAACCGCGCTTTGTGAAATTTATATAAATCCATCGGACGGTTAAATATCAGTTATGACGTCATAATACTGCAAAAAGCAATTTTCCGCGGAACACCCGGAGGTCTCTCGCGGACACCAGTGTTCCGCGGAACACCGGTTGAAAATCACTGATCTATAGTATATGAAGGAATTTGCATACAATGAACAATGGAATAACTGTTATCTACATTCTACAACATGACTATATTACCATGCATTTCATGTTTGCAGATTACTGCGATATATTTTTATATACCATGAGTTACGTTATCAGAATTACATTGATACGGTAAGCATTTAAAATAGTGCTATCGGTCATAGATTTGAACATTTT